TTTATGTTACAGAGAATACGGAATACATCCTATTTGAGTGATATCTGAATCTACAGAGGTTATAGTATATGAGATAGCTTTCGTATCAATTTAATACTTGGAATCTTTGTATCACCTGGAGGTTCTGATTTTTTAATTCGAAAAAACGCCATTTTGGCATCCAAAAAAACTTTTCTTGGTTTAAATTTTTTGTAAAAATGTAAAATTTGAACAATTGTTTTAAAAACTTATTATTACTCCATAAAGTCTATCAAAACAAACTGGGTATTTGACTATGTTTTGGCATTGGTCAGTACAGCTGAATATCTGACTGGGTTTAATAGATGTTAAAATAGGCTGACTCAGATGATACTGATACATTATTTCATCACAGAAAATTACAATTAAATTAGTAATCAAATAGATATCTTATTTCTGTATCAATAAATGCCAGTTTCAATCAATACTTTATTTTCCTGGTTTGCAAAGTACGCTATTTATGCCAATAAGAGCATACAGTTGTGTGGGTGTTTTTTTATATAATCCTCGAAATTGCAGGTGGTGGACACTGCTATTGGACGTTTTGTTTCCAAGTTTACCGTGGCCTATATGCCACGTTTGAATTCAAATACATGTATACTTGACACTCTTCTGAAGGCATCATATATGTGAAAATACGAAATTTATTGAATTTCCGGGCTTATGTATCTCCTTATCTTCAGTTTGACATTTTTTTCGATCAATTCTGACAATCCTCACTCACCTCCTTAATGTCCAAATTTAGGCTCTCGTCATCACTGACAAGTCCTAGAGAGATGAAACAGTCGTATGATGCAGTTTATTATTATTTAACCTTATCTAACTTTTATGTTGAAAGGTTCTATTGGTTTGTGTATCTTTATTACAATGTTAGGTATCACACTGTAACACGGTATGACGGCAGTAATGATATAAGCATATTCATAAATGGGAAGGTTGAAATGACGCGATCATTCTGTAATTTACACGGTTATTCTGTAATTTACACGGTTATTCTCTAATTGACACGATATTCTGTAATTGACACAATTATTCTGTAATTTACACAATTATTCTGTAATTGACACAATTATTCTGCAATTGATGACAGAGAAAAGAAAAATTGTGATTTGTGACTAAAGCCAGAAAATTACAAATTAGAGCCCAAATCTGCAGCTTCCGGTTTTCGTTAAACTTCAATGGTACAACGCCTGTTAACAAATCATCATGACCACGTGGGCGAAATAATGAAACTTACAACCTTCGTCAGCTCAAACTTAACACAGACATGTTAGGGAAGTTATTCTTCACTTATATTCGACCATCTCTGGAATAAGTACTTGAAATAAGGAGAAATAGGGGTACAACTGCCTCCATATCACAAAGAATATATAGGAAAGTACTTGCTTAGATTGCCAATGGATTGAGCATTACGTAAAACGTAATATCAGGAAAATGACAGGTTACTTTTGCAAAGAAAGAGATGTTTCTAAACTTTTGCTATTGTTAACAATATGTTACCAAATTTTATTAATGACTTGTTATCAGATTGGGTTGGAAATATAAACCCATATTACTTACAAGGAGGTCACTTGCTGAGCAAACAAAACGTCCCGTTTACATTAACCACACAATTCTTTCCTTCTCCAACCAATCTTTGGAACAATCTGTACAACGATATTAGGATTTAATTTATTAAATGCATTCAGTTAAAAATATCTCTGTTGGTAAACATTGATCTAAACGACAAATATGTTAATTATGTATCTAGGATATTAATTATTCTTCATTGCCATCTAAGGAACCGAGTAAGTCCGATTAAGTATGCTAATCTCTGTCTCTGTCTCTGTCTCTGTCTCTCTCTCTCTCTCTGTCTCTCTCTCTCTCTCTCTCTCTCTCTCTCTCTCTCTCTCTCTCTCTCTCTCTCTCTCTCTCTCTCTCTCTCTCTCTCTCTCTCTCTCTCTCTCTCTCTCTGTCTCTCTCTCTCTCTCTGTTTGTCTCTCTGTCTCTCTCTCTGTGTCTCTCTCTGTCTGTCTCTGTCTCTCTGTGTCTCTATCCTTGTCTCTCCCTCTCTGTGTCTGTCTGTCTGTGTGTGTGTGTGTGTGTGTGTGTGTGTGTGTGTGTGTGTGTGTGTGTGTGTGTGTGTGTGTGTGTGTGTGTGTGTGTGTGTGTGTGTGTGTGTGTGTGTGTGTGTAACTCTCTGTCTCTCTGTCTGTCTGTCTCTGTCTCTCTATCCCCCCTCTCTCTCTCTCTTGTCTCTCTCTGTCTGTCTGTCTGTCTGTCATTCATATTTAATTCTCATGTCATCACATGACTACAAATGTAAATATATTGTATGTCAATTATTCAAATAAGTTATTTTTTAGTTAGAAAAAATACTTTCTAATTCTTTTGCCATATTATATATATAAATAAAGTATGTTTAGAACATATATAGTTAATATATAATTGATATAGAATTGATATAAATTTGATATTAAATCTATCCTATCTCTTTTTCTCTTCTTTTCTTTCTATCCTATCATCTCACCTTTTCGTCCTTTTGACAAAATTATTTAAACTTACAATTGTACGTCTACGAATTACTTTTCTTCATATTTATAGTATACATATGTGTCACGTGCAGTATATTAATCATTTGTAATTTCATTTAAGGAGAAGAGTTCATGTGTTGTTAGAATTTGTTTCTGGTCCATTTATCTGCTACTGATAATACAATATGTTTAAACCACATATATACTTCTAAAATCACGCTTACACCGGACATGACGCAAGTGATGACGTAACAGAGACTTTAAAATTGAGTCCAAATTGTAATTAGCGAACTTTGTTACGGCAAATTACTGTTGTGTACTTTTAGTGAACCTTAATCTGTTTAGCAGTACAAGAGGACTCAGTCACTAAGTCGTTTAATCAGCTTGATTAAAAACAATAATTTCTAAACAATCAATTAAAAATAAAAATTCACATAAAAAAATTGAAATAATCAAGAACAGCTGATATATCATATTAAATCTTTAGCAACACAATTGTCTTATTTAATTCATAATAGAAACAAACGTTGATATTTCTTTAACAATCTGATGGAGCTCGATAGAAATTTGAACAATATCAAGTGGGCAATTAATTGGCGCATATTAGAGTTCACTAAGTCTTATTCTATAACAGAACCATTTGGTAACATTCAATAAATTGTTGTTATTATTTCTAAGTCAATGATCCTTTACGTTATCCGTAGATTAACAGCTATTAGTGTGTATAATCCCTTCTTAATATCAAAATACCAAAATAAAGTAAATATACCGTTAATAATATGTGTTCCGATTCATATACCGGGATGTTTTTGAGGAAAAATACACATATTATCTGTATGTGACATTATCATTTCAATTCATCCGTTTTAGAATTCTTTATATCAAATCTATACACACTATTGTTGACCTGGATCCCTGTAAAGACACACTGGTGAGAAATGTAGATTAGATTTTTGGAATGGTACTTTTTCCATTGATTACTTTACTTGTACCAGTAAAAAGCTTCATTTCTGTAACAAAATATTGTGCTACTACACCAGACCATTGTGTAAATGTTCTGGCGTGACAAATATATGTTCTATACCACTAACGGTATATAACTTTGCGGAGTTTTTATTGGTTGAGAAGGAAACGCGCAATATGTAGTCTGTGTTGTTTGGTTTTTGTAAAAATTAGCTTTTTTTGTCATGATTTTTGAAACGACGTCATACACGTTACAGGTTACGTAACTATATAGAGCCAAAATGACTTGACGTGGGAATGTCAGTTTCCTTCCATATTTGCCTGAATAAACGATCACGTGATCAAAAGAAGCATACATCTGTTTTTATTCCATTAATGATTTCATGAAATTCTTCACTTCTTTTTGTGCTTTTTTTTGTCAAAAGGATTTAGACTCTATAAAACCACATGTGGCATGGAAAGTCATACAAGGTCCTTTATATGCGTACCAAGCTGTCTGTTATTTGAGTTGTCATGGTGATTATGTTCACGTGGTTGCTACCACTTTCTCAAAGGTCAAGGTCATACGACGAAAATCAATAGATATTTCATACATAGTAAATAAACAATGACCCTATGTAAACATATCGTACTGGTGACATCAATATACATGTTCGATCTATAATGCACCTAAATCTCTCCCAAGGTGCATTGCTGTACCTCAATCAATGTATCTTGTAACTGTTAAGGAACGACAACTCTAGGAGGGACTGGTTCACCTCAATCCCTTTCGCCATCTATTGGTTTCTAGTCAGTCATTTCGGATTGAATTGTTTTATTTTCTTTTGCTTTGCCATCCAATCCTGATCAGCAATTTTCATCACATGTTTTGAGTTCGGTTTATGGTATTGACGTATACGTAAGGCAGTCTTACTCTCTGTCATGTTACAGAGATTTAGAAATCGCATTGGTCTCGATCAACTTCAGCAGAAAAAAAAGTTTAAGAGTTTTGTCTTTTTCACGTATTCGCGCCTTGAAATATATTTTTGTAAACCATGTTTGAATTTTCGGGGGATCATATAGTCAGTCCATCCTTTCGTTTCCTGAGTATAACTTTGTCCACATTTAAGTAAGGATCATGAAACATGATGTATACATTGCTCATACTAAGGGGATGAGCAGTGTAAAAAGTCAGTGTCCGCAACCCTTCAATTACAGAGTTATTGTTCTTTGTTAAAATTTCGTGTCCGGAGCATAACTAGGATATCGAAACTTTGCGTTAACATTGATCATACTAAGACGAAGTGTAGTTTACCAAATTCAGTGCCAATGACCCCTCAAGTACAGAGTAATTGCCCTTTGTTAAAATTTCATGTCCGGAGCATAACTTTGCCTACAGATAAGCAATGATCATGATTCTGTGTATACCTTCTTCAGGGTCCTTTGTTAAAATTTGGTGTTCAATAAAGTTGCTTTTGGGAAGCATTCATCAGTTTCGCTGATTATCTTGTATTGAATATTTTACAGAAATAGAAGACACATTTGAACTTATAGATGAAGACGGAGATGGACGAATATCAAAACAAGAAATGGTGAAGGCAGCGTCTCTTTTGGGATTTAATCCCACGTCAGAGGACGCGGACGCAATGATCAAAATGGCCGACGCAGACGGTGAGGCTGACTTTCATCTCTGTCTTATTAAAATTACACGATGTGGTTTTGAAACCATAATGCTTCCGGTTACAACACATTCTGAAATGGGGCATTTAAACTAAACTGTTTAAAGCATTTGCGAATTGCATGCACTCTTTGTGAAACACTTATGTCTTCATTGTAGCAATGATGCTGTTTCCCTTCAAATGTAGATCAAAGGTCACGGTCAAGGTCACGTGGTCAAACATTTGGTATCACCGGAAAGGACTTGTTACATGAAACACACATGCCAAATTTCTCTTACGGTGCAATAGTCATGAGCAAGGTTAAATTTGACAACAGACAAACAGACAACACCAACAAGGGGACATAAAAATATATTGCTGTGAAAAAAATTCGTATGATGAAACAAGAAATTACACCTTGTTGTCTCGTTATCATACAATTAGAAAACTAAAGAAATCTTATTAATTTATTTGTTTATTTATTTATTTATTTTCCTAGGTGATGGTTTCATAAACTGTAAAGAATACTGTGCTATGATGTCACAGAATTATACCACAAAAGATCAGGAGAAACAGGCTCTACAGAAGGCCTTTCAGACTTTAGACAAAGATGGCGACGGCTTTCTGTCAACAGATGAGCTCCGCACAGCCCTACAATTCAACTCCGATATCACTGACGACGAAATCGATATATTTTTCATGGATGCCGACAAAAATGGTGATGGTCTGATCGATTACACAGGTAAACAGTTGATATTTTCATGGGATTCAAAAGTCGAGGTTGCTCAAATGATTATTTGTTGAACAGTTTGATTTCGTAAACAAATGTTATTAAGTAAATTTGCTTATACTGATTTCAACAACTAAGTGATTCTCAGATTTATAGACATTTATCCGTGATTTCGAAAAACCCGTAAACTTGACGAAAATATATCTCCTACGAAAATAAAAGATTTTAAAACAGTTCCAACTTTATTTTTTATTTTAAGTTTTGTTAAAAGAATCATTTATAATTGTGAATGCATACGTTTAATTATTTAATGTGAGTTAACAATCAGTGAAAATTTTGATTTTCATGCAAGAAAGACAAGCAGCTTTTTTCTTTCTTTTTTTTTTTTTAATTTTTGTTTTTTGTTAATAACATTTTATCAATAATGTTCCAAAATGTTGTATCATTACAAAATAAAGAAAATAAAATAGATTTATATTTATGCTACAGACAGGATTGTAATGAGATTGTTATCGATTTTTGAACACTCTAATGTAAGAAAAGCATATTATATATAGGCAGGAAATAGATGTAAGAAAAATCAGTAATTTAACAAAAAAATCAATTTGATACTCCCAATCAAAATTTATTTTCGTTTAGAATATAAAAAAATGGATGTCGTTCCGGTGAAAGTAAAATTAAATGTATTCATGAATTTCTTTAAATGATGTCTTGATTTTAGTAAATAATATAATTCTACATTTCCTTACTTTTTCCTCTTTTTGAAATATATCATCTGTTTTTTTCCCACTTATTTCAGAATTCATCGAATCTACATTGTGTGTGTCTTTATTCTGAAGAAGACATATTGCCCAGTGCTGTTGTGTACTCTACTGTGTTAAAAACACTTAAAACAAAATTGCAAAAAAAAAAAAAAAACTCATTAAATACTTCCATTGATTATCAACCTTGCCATTAAAGTTTTTATTTATTTATTTAATTTGTTTGTTTATTTATTTTTAAAAATAGTTGAAATTATCGCATGCAAACAAAGAATTTTGTACATACCAGTAAATGAATTTTAATGGATTGACGGCTGATTAATCTAAATATGTCAATGATAGTGCCAAAGTAAATACAGTCGATCTTCGTTATCTCGTACTCATATAACTGGAAGACCTCTTTTATTCGAAGAATTTCGTCGGTCCCGGCTAAACATCATTCCAAACATTCGAAATCGCTTTAATCGAATACTCGGATAACTCGAAGTTTTTCCACTGTCGAGTTTTCACTTACATTTTCACATTTCACAAATATATTTACTCTATACAACTATTTTCTCTGTATTCAGTTGGACATGTGCAGTGCAAATGCTGAATGCTTAATGTAATACACAGAACGGAACCGGTTCAGAGTCCGGACCGATCAAATGAGTTCACTTCTATAAACCGAACCCTTCCTACCGGACAGATACGCACGTCACATACATGATCGGTTGAAGAATGTATACGAAATTAATCAGCGCATGTACACTAAAATATACTTACATATGGAGTATACCAGCAACATATAAATTAAGGAGAGTAAGACCGAGTGCATCTTGTTCGCTTCAGTGACGACAACCGCCATATTAATTTTGTCAAAATCAATGTCACGCTCTCAAAACAAAAAAAAACAAAAAAAAAAACAGTTTTGACTGTTGGGGAGATATCGTAATGCCTATTTTATGTCATATTCAGTTACCGGAGTAGGGATCGAATTGAAATTGTTTTACTTAGAAGAAAGCAGTTCGTGGGATCTTATAAGCGGGTATTTAGATCCGGATTTCAAACTGAATATAAGAAAACATATACACAACCTTTACATACACGTTAATCCATTACAATACAAATACCCACCGTCGCCATATCAAGTGTTACATTGTTCGTGAAGATCGACCTTTCGACGGTGCACACGGAGAGAATCTCGTTTGTAGAAAAAGGACCTGGAAAGCACTTGAAAATATCAACACCGAAGATTTAATCTGACTTACAAACGAGAGGGAGAAAGATGAACGAATATGTCGAGAAGCTCACGAAGATTTAGAAATTAGCGATATAAAAGATAATATTCGATTTTTTTAAGGTTTGGAAATCAGCAGTTTACCGCCTTTATAGATCCGGACTCACGGTATAGAGAACGATTTTTTAAGGTTTGGAAATCATCAGTTTACCGCCTTTATAGATCCGGACTCACGGTATAGAGAACGATTTTTTAAGGTTTGGAAATCAGCAGTTTACCGCCTTTATAGATCCGGACTCACGGTATAGAGAACGATTTTTTTAAGGTTTGGAAATCATCAGTTTACCGCCTTTATAAATCCGGACTCACGGTATAGAGAACGATTTTTTAACAAAAAGAGATAAAAGAAAAAAAGACGAAAAAGAAAACGACTTGAGTGTTTGATTCGTAGTTGGATCTTTATCAGCATAAAATGTTCAAACGCGGTATAAACAAGTGATATGTCCTGCGGGAATTAATAGAGCACTGTGACTCTTCTTTAATGGTAAGTAACATATATTATTATTATTTTTTTTTCGGGGGTTGGGGGTGAGGGGGTTTGTTGTTTGTTTGTTTGGGTTTTTTTTTCGATATCTTTTTTCATTAAAAAGACATTTAAGAAATTCATTTTACTGTCCTTAAACTGTAAATATTGTCATTATCTAAGGAGATTTATAAACATATGACATTGCATAGTTTTTATGAAAAATTACATCGCGAGAAACAACCCTTAACTCAAATCGTTACTTTTAGGTGTGTGTTTATTTATAATTATTTATCACTATAGTACCCATAATCGAACTGAATACACTGTATATTAGATGCAAATACTTGAAATCATACTTTTTTATAGTAATGTTGTTAAATGTGTCTTATCGGATTTATTTGTGACAGTTATTTCTGCTTTCTACATCAATCTTAATACCAAACCTTTGAGTTAAGCCAGAATTCTGTTGGATTACAAGTGCCATTTGTAATGTTGAACTTTATAAACATTTCATAAATCTAAAAAAAAAATAGACTTTTACATTTGTTTACGGCAAGTCAATATTTCTTACGAAGTTTGACAATACAAAATACATAACATTCAGACACTCATCCAAAAATAACTGAATGTTGAATATGATAAGGCTTTATTGTTTTTGCTTAATTTTCATCAATGAATCAAAATAGCATGTCAAACACAAAATACGAATTATTAAATTTTGTAACAAAACATGAACATGAAAGCCAGTCTTGATACATTTTCTAAAAAATATCAGTTAGTCACTATCAGGAAGTATCCATGATGGCTTCAAAATAAAGATTTCTCTTTGTGTCATATATATGTTCATCATCCTTACTTTTACTGATGACGGTAACAGTGGACATGGAGAACGACTTCAATATGACTTTTTCTGAAACCGACATTAAGGTCAGAAGTCAACTCTTTCATAGCAAATTGCAACATGTTTATTTTTCCAACTGCTTTTTAATTTTAACCTTCATATGTTTATTTTTCATAATTCTTTGGATTGTGACGCTCGTTAGGATACCGATTTTTGTGAGAGAATATTTATTTCCATAATCAGGTCACCCTAGTTTTTTTTCCCCTGCTTTACTTATTTTTATATATGATAACCCAGATAGTTTGAATGATATCAAAATGATAAGTGAAGGGATAGAGATAAATAGTGTCTAAATCCATATTTTGACACTAAGATACAAAAAGTTTGAGATGTCCAAGTGACCTCAAGGTGAGACATCAGTACCATTAAGGTGAGACGCCGGTGCATTCACGTGAGACATTGGTACTATTCACGTGAGACATCGGTACTATTAAGGTGAGACACCAGTTCCACTAAGGTAAGAAACTGGTACTATTAAGGTGAGACACCTGTACCATTAAGGTGAAACAGCTGTATCCTTCTTGTGAGACACCAGTTCTATTACGGTAAGATACCAGTATTATTCACGTGAGGCACTAGTTCTAAAACTCATTTACAATTGTGATCAATCATACATTATTCGTCATTAAATAAACCATCTGTGAACCTACGAAATGGTTGACACCAAAAATTGTCAAAACATCCAACCGTGTCGATGAGAATTGGTAAAAATGGATTTAAGCTGACCTGTTACTGTTTTAACTGGTTCGGGTTATGGGTTGTAATTGATCTTAAAAACCAGTAGACGGATTATGTAGAATTTAGGTGAACTTAGATCTTATCGAGAATTTATACAATACCTGTCGGCAGTGTTATAGCAGTGAAGTTATAAACTCACTTCATTTGCCCTACATATTAATCAATGGTGTGGTGTTTTCAGAACACGAAGAATTTTTACCCGCTCTTGCCTCCATCTCCTGACACGTTTGTGACGATCCAGGTCAGAAAAATGTATTTTCGGTTATATCAGAATATGAAGTTTACCAGACCATGATGGTTTAGGCCTGAATTTTGGAGCCTAGATGGTGACCGAGGAAAATCCAAAGCGACCGGAAAAAAAGTTAAAATTTAGATGGGGAGGTTCACCAGCCCCCAAATTTAATAAATTTCGTAATTTTTATATATCTGGTTATTTTAGAACAACGTCAAATAAATATGTATATTCTGAAATTAGAAATAATGTTTCGTTCTGTTTGTCGTAGCTAGCACTTCTTTCAAATTTTATCTGCAGTGTGCTCAGAATCACAACATGAAAAGTAATTCACGGATATATTGGAAAATTTTCAAATCATTCTTAGAAATAAAAGTTGCAAATTCAACAGTAATAAATTTTATCAACTTTTACATGAAGATTGAAGAAATGTTTCAACGTTACTTATAATTAAAGAGAATTTGGACAACTTGCGTAGAAAAAAAATTGAAAAAAACACATAGATTTGTAATCCTGTGAAACATTTGATTACGAATACTTAAGCAAATAAGTCAAATTTTCTTTTTTAAAATTAAGAGCAACCTGGTACATTTGGAAAACAAGATTGGCATATCTAAGACATTCGAAGGTTACTATGAATAATTTGTGACATGAAAAATGTTATTTTGATTGTCAAGTTGTTACGTATTTTTTCAGGTGTTGTGAAGAAAGTAGGATTATGATTGGTATCCTACATTGAATCATCTAAAGATAATTCAGCCAACAGATCAAAGATGGCGTCTGCAAGACGAGAAAGCAGGACGATAGTGGTCGACAGTTACCGTAAATTGACCATACCACTATCAGAAGGAACGACCAAGAAAACCACACCAATATCTCAACGGCGCATGTCTAAACCAGGACCAAGCAATCTAAAAATAACAGAGGAAACAAAAAAGAGTACTTCCGGTAACAAATCTCCGACAGTAGAACGGCGCATGTCCAAAAACCTGCCATTCCTTGTTATACGAGACAAGAATTTAACAGATGCCCATATGGAGGGTAATTAAATTTTCCTTTAAGTTATAAATGGATGTCGGCAATTAACTCAATACATCAGTATGATAAACAATGATTACATTATTTTGTATACTTCAGCCATACCTTTTGATCCTTATATAAAACAATGTCCCATCCCATATCAGAAGTAGAATCTAATATCGATTTGATTAAAAGCCTAATTTTAATTTTCCTAATTCTTTCTTCTACACTGATAAGTTCGGACAGGGACGAAATAGCTTCATGGTCCAGTTTAAACCAACGTTTATCGTATGTTTTATCTTTTCGTCAATTTATCATGAAAATTGGTGTTCACTGGTATTCACTGGCGTGTCTTTTGTACAACCTTTGTAATTGTCCTACATGGTGATTTCGTTTCCGTGTTCAGCTTTAGCTCTGCACGCCGCACTGATAATCATACGAATAAGGACACAATTCAGAATATATACAGGTGCTTTGCATTCTATTGGAATCATCCCCAATCATCATTTGGCAAATTTACGAGATTCAGAAAATTTCAGAGAAAACATCAACTTGGTAATCGTGCAAAGATAAGATTAAAACACACTCAGTTAAACAGTGTACATTAAGAAATGTTTGTAGAAAAATCCAAACAAAAAAGTGATTAAAGAGAGTTCCACACGCCGATGTCATACGAAGTTCAGAAAGTCGACTCAAAAAAACTAGATGACCAATCTGCAAACTCTAATGCATAGGTGTAGTAGACGATGTCGCACGTGCTGGTCGCTTTCGTGACGTCATACCACAGAATACCGATAAATAGTCATGCCAGGTCTACGTTTGAATAGAAAGTTTACGTGTTTTTAGTAATATCGACCTCCCACGGAAACGTTTAAAAGATCGTTCATAGAGGCATGTTTACAAAAAGTGAATATCAAAACTTTTTACATTAATACAAACGCACGATATCGTCTTAAGTATTTCTCTCTGATAAGTCAGTTTTAAGTATGTCGATATAAATAGAAAATATATTTTCTTATCGATTTCTGAATGAAAGTTGTCTGTATTGGGGCTTTAAATTCATTCAGGTTTTACCATTTATAGATATACTGTGTCTATTACAAAATGTCAATTGTAATTCGCATGGATGTAGTATGTTTAATCCATAGTTCCAATTAAATTCACAAGATATTATTTAATGGCAGTAAATTCTCAACACATCCGTTTTGTTTATCATAGGATTGGTTTTATACAGGATATTTACGATGGAAGATCATTACAATTATCAGTGCAAGAATTAACCACAATGTCAGCAATTACCTCAGTTACGATAATCCGTACATAGTAACAGGGGCACCTCTCGAAATCATTGCACAGGGGAACATCTCGAAACCATTCCACAAGGGAACCATTCAGAATCCTTTATCAGCTGTTAAGACTTATACTAAATTACATTATCATCTGTGAGAAAATAGTAGGATGATTTTAATAAAAGATACTGAGGTGGATAACATTTTTAAATACAAAGTTGTGAACTAAACTGCATCCTACAGCTGTTTCGTCTGGAGACTCGTCTGAGATGCCAGAATTAATAAAACCTTTATCGAATAGGAAAATAAAAGTAAAATATATATTTAGATACTTGATGGGAAAACAGAAAGCCAAAAAGAAGCAAGATATTAAGAGCTATGATCCGTTGTCATTTCAGAGATAATAGCCTCGTTCGAACTGATAGACCTAAACAGTGATGGTCGGATATCGAAAGGTGAACTGATTAAGGCTGCAGCACTGTTGGGGATGAACCCAACTGAGGAGGATGCTAAAAACATGATGAGACTAGCTGACCTTGACGGTAAGCGTAATGGAATGGAAAGGTCATTAGGTCATGCTTATGTATGTTAACATATATGGAAGATCAGAGGCAATTTTCAAAAAATTCTTGTGTCATATCACTTTTTAAATGGAAGGACATGAAAAAATGTCAATGGTCTCGCACGAGCTGCTTTTCGAATTCGAAGCCGACATTTTACCGCTTGACTATTTAAAGAAAATTTGCCACTAGTTTTGAACAAGTAGGACGACAAATGCTATCTCATTCTAGACTACATTGTCATTTCTTAAGTCTTCGCCCCCAGAAGATAATCACAAACCAGGTGTTTCAGATTGAAGTACAGCAATCTTTGCAGAGGTAAATAAGGTCTAATAAGAGAAACAGAGATTTATCATCCAGCAACTGCGCTGCCATTGTCGGAATACACCTGCCACATATAATTTTCTTTTCGGCAGTGACGGAAACAGCGGTATTTTAGCACGTGCATTAATTTATGCAGAATTACTTTCTGATTTATTAAGATATTTCATTAAAAATATATTTAAGTAAGCGATTTTATTTGTTGTAACAAACAAGTTATTAACGCAAATTCATAAAACTGCCTTTGATATCCATTGAAGTGTAGAACTATATTTCTGCGCGGAGTAATTATTTTGACGTTCGTCACCAGTCACAATTCAGTGTAACGTCAACTTCATGTAAACAAAGGTTGAACAGACCTAGCACACTTTTGAAATTTCGATAATCTGAATATTCAGTATGTGTTGGAGGATAAATAGAACACAGAAAGACGAACGAGGCACGCCAAGGCTCGTCAATTCTGTCTGTCTTCACCCTCGCCAAGGTTGTTATTGTAACTAGTGCCCAATCCTTTTGCTTAACGACAATGAAACTGAACTCGCCAGAAACATAGCTAACATTTTAAGACACTGACTATGTATTCTTAGCAGTAATTAATGTAGTTTCGAAGTTAATTAAAAGTTCTTTTTTTTTAATGGTCCAACTGAAAGGCGACGGTTTCATCGACTTTGAGGAATACAAGAACATGATGAGACACAACTATATTGAAATAGACATTGAGAAGGAGAGACTGCTTGCAGCATTTCGTGTCATAGACAAAGACAAAGATGGATTCTTAAGTCGGGACGAGCTCAGGTCGGCGCTTACATTTAAATCCCCGCCCGAAAACCAGATGGACGTGGAGCAGTTCATTCAGGATGCTGACGTTAATGACGATGGGCAGATAGACTACACGGGTGAGTTAATTTCGGAGTGAAAAATCAGTTTCTTTGTTTGGTTTATATTTATTCATTTATTTTAGTCTCTTTTTTTTTTTTACTTGATTTGGATTTGCATTGTCGTATCAAATTAATTTTCATTTTCTGTACTAGGACTAGGAACAAATGTTTTTCTTTCCAAAATCCTTTAGCAGAGAAAAGTCGGCATGTATCTTCGCTTTTTAAACGAAAACACTGATATTTCGATGCATTCAATCTTTATTTTTCTTTTGATTTTTCTGCAAGAGTCGAAAACTAACAGATATCATCACAACACAGGGATGTAGGTAGATGAAAATGGTGGGAAGTTAAACGCTCATCATAATGATAACATTTGGAAATTTATGAAGGAGGGTATTTTTATTCTTGTTAGCATACTTGTTGATTCCATTGTTATTTTCATTTGGGAACGTTACATTACTTACTTGAATTGGCCATGAATTTATTTGACGGATGATGTCGATAAAGCAGAAGACGCTTACTCTTCAGGAACACCTGGTATAATCCTCCTCGTACTATTCAGGATTCCCCATGTAAATTTCCTTTTGTTTATTGAATTTTAGTTTTGGTTATGATTTTTTTTAATTTTATTGTTTCAGAATTTGTGAATTCCCAATTGTGTACGAAGATTTTTTCTTAGTCTACTCACAAGTCATGCATACCCGGAAGCCATTGATGTAACGTCCCAGACATGCGCAGTGAAATCTTCTTTGTGGTTTCTTACCAACCAAGAAACAGACTGTTGGAGGCATTGATTGGTCATTATATGTCCTATAAATGCCAGAAAATGTCCTATGAATAGATTTTGGCGACGACAAACGAAACAAATTAATAGCTACAAACACAGAAAGAATTTGATGTTGAGCAATCCTTGTCCTTTCAACTGACATTAAGACATGACAGCAAAACATACTTAAAAGATATGCATCAAAGTGATATTTGATTTACAAAGTGAATGTATTAACATTCATTCACATTTGTTTTCGAAAATATTTAGTCTTGAACAAGTTTTAGTATTCGCTTTGGTTGCAAGAAAGGCAACATAAAATTACTTTTTTATGTCGCCCAACGACCGCACCACGAACAGAGTGTGTATTCTAAAAGGTATTCGCATGGAGTGTTAAAACGTTGTATTCAGCTGTTCATGAAAACGGGTCGACACTTTCAACTCAAGCTGCCCACATTTCTAATTAAGAACGAAAAAAAATTGTGGTGGTAATATATATATATATTAATTTTTGTGAAATGTACCTAGAAAACGGGTAAATCTATTCGAGATGGTGACTCGTACTAGTTTTGATCTTACAACAAGATTCTGGTGATTGTAGATACTTAAAAAAATGTTTCGTCAGGGTTTCAACGATAGTTTTGTCTGATGGCAGGAGCCGGGAATGAAGCTCACAACTTTTGTCCTTCATGGATATTTGTCTGTGTTCTAACTGATAAACATATTGTTAGCATACAGGTTTTCGCGGTGTTCAGGTTTTCGCGGTATTCAGGTTTTCGCGCAGTTTGTGTGTTTGCGTTAACTTACATTTTTGATACATTGATTTCTATGGAAAATACTATGCGTGTATCAATTTGTCATCACCCTGAGGAAACAAATGTGATTCGTTTGTTGTGATATAAAGGGAAATTAAATTCGACGAATAAACACTACTTATATTGATAAATATATCAGTGATTCCATTTATGATAGCTTTGTGACGTCATTGATGCCGCGCACGAGCTCGTGTGGCGTCAGCTGTTAATGGCGGATAAAGCGTAACGACCCGCGTGATTGATATCATGTTACGTTATTACTGAATTCTGTATTAATTGATATCGCTTTTGATTTCATTTATTTCATAGCTTTTATATTTTTAGAATATTACATTTTTCATAATTAATTTGATATTTTCGTAACTTTATAAAGTGTATAATGTGGTCACGAAGACTTTTACAGAGAACCCATTGTATGTATCAGTATATGTTTCAGTGTTCTGATTGTTCGTTTTTTATATTATCATACAGAATGTGATAAGTATTCTCCATCAAATGTTTTCTTTGCTTTCCTTAATTTTCGAACACTGCGTCTCAAAAAAACATTTTCATATTTTATTAATTTGGTGTGGTTCTCAATATTTCGAACCTGAACTGTACCTTGTTTCCATAGATGAAATAAGTAAAATAAGTTCAGTATGGTAAGTGTTGTTGTTGACATTGCTCTCATTCGAGAACGTGACATTAACAAAAGTTTACATGAAGCCGCTTACAATTCCAGAACACGTGGTCTTATTATCTTTGTCTGGGGTTTCCGCATAAACCTCTCTTTTGTTCATGCTTTGCTTTAGTTTAATCGATATTGAGTTTAGAATAAGAATCTATTGACATTATTTTTTAAATAATTGTCTCTGTGGAGCTTAGATTTTCTATCTGTAATAACGCTCTGTCATGGTTTGTGTTTAATGTAATAATGTCTCATTTGCAGGCGAGATTCTAATCATCAAATATGTTGACCTATGTTTTTCCTTCACTGATTAAACACTGTAAGGATGATTTTTTCGGAAGTTATGTTTAGATGTCATGTTAAAGAAATTCGATTGAATGTTGTTACAAAATTCAAAGTTTTCACACGTCGAATACCATGAAAAACATTCTTCTCGCGAATATATATGCAGTGATTTACTTCCAATATTTCTTTACTGGTGTCACTATTTTTAAGGTCTCTTCTGAATCAACTTAATCAGACATTAAAATATAAAAAAAAGAAAACATTTTTTCTCATTTTACAGGAAGATTTATGTTAAGATTTAATCAAATTAAAACTGTTGTTACTAATTGTCACATATATATTACAGGATCAATAAACTAGCCATTAGATTATATCGTGTTGTGTGGTGTTTACACTACCCAAGCATCCCTTGACATTTCAGTATGATAACGCTATAACAGGCTCCGTCAGTAGGGCATTATCCACTGACAACCTCATCAGATAATATTTTGATGTTGCGATGGTATGGTAGTGTGTTAAGGATAGAATATATGAAACATTTCTGTCACAAGAGGCAACTATATGTAAAATTAGAAATTTGACTTGTGTTCGCTTTTCAACAGTTTGTAACTGTTTTCTTCCTCTATTCCCTCGTTACCTTTTTCTTTACGGAGTTACACGTGTTGAGCGTGAAAGAGTGAGCTTCGTTATGTTGGTTTGCAGGATAAATAGAATACAAGGTCAGTATCTTAAAATATAAACTACATTTTTGCTCGGGACAGGGTTCGCCTCTTTGGTCTTTCTCCATCCTCGCCTTATATCTAAAAGACACTGACCATATACTCTCTCTATATGTTTATACCTTATTTCTTATAATCCATATTGATAGTGCCGTTTTTCATCAGTTCCTTTTTTCTATTGTAATTTGCAGTCTCATTTTTACGGGAGACAGATTATGAATTCTATAATTTGTGTCTGATCGCATTTGTTTAATTACAAATATGCTTAAATCAATTAATGTACATGCTTTAATTGTACATTCATTCAGAGTGCCAGTTAATGATGTTTATGATCAGGATACGGACCTTCCTCGTTTATAGAGGAATAATTTATTACAGGCACGTCAACCAGATTTTTATCCAAAGTTTTCAATAACCGTTCTTACTACTATCAAATCATGGGTATAGTCTTTTTGTGATACGCTTCGTCTGACAATTGGAACAGATGGAATGTTAACTTTGGAAACGTTTATGACCAGTAATGAACATCCTCTATCACTTCCTCCTTCAAAGTAACCCCTTCATTCTCCGGTTACGACATCTTTCCTTTCGAAAAACTGAAAGGTAGTACAAGTATATTGAAGTAGGTGTTAAAACTCAATAAGAAATGATCGAATTTATGGTTGATGATCTCTTCGTGGTAAGACTTTCCAGACAATTTTGTAGTCTAGACTACAGATTATTCTATTGGAATACCAATCTGTAACAAGGTTAAGAAACTGCGCCACTCTCATTTTTTGTGTGTGTGTGTTTTTTTTTTTTTTTTTTTTTTGGGGGGGGGGGGGGGGGGGGGGGGGGGGGGGGGGGGGGTTGGGGGTGGGGGGGTAATTTATTGACGAATTGCTGTCAACCATGTTCTTATTTGGGAATAACACTTACTTGAATTGACCAAGATTTATGAGACATTTGTCGCCGATTAAGCAGAAAACGCTTACTCTTCAGAAACACTTAGTCTCCTGATCATTCCTTTGATCATATTTCCATCTCGACTCATTGCCTTCACCGCTGCTTTTATTTTTTTTATAAAATCCCGTTTCAGCAGAGATAATAAGCACACGTTTACCAGTTTTGAGAGTTACAAATAGTTAAAAAATATCTCTCACTTACCTATATTCCCTGACGGTAAGTGTAGCGAATATCGTGGTAAAAGTAGTTGGTAAAAACATGAGTTGTCCAGGCTGACGACGTGTACCGTTGGATATATCACAAAATAATACAAAACCAACAAGAATGGCCCAAGGCAACAAAGGCAGCTTGAAATGCACGTGATTTTTACCTGTATCATTCTTGTAACTGGCTTAAAGGTCACACATATTTAAATACTACAAAAGTCTTGTCAACTTTGTGATTTGTTTTCATGTTTTTTGGAAATGGGGTCATCGACTTAAACCATATTATTATCGAAAAGGATGCATAATTCGAATTGCAGTTAGGTCTTTAACTGACACAAAAGCAACCGCATTTTTATCTGGTGTTGTCAATATTAAGAGATAAATGTATCTCTCATCACAAAAATAAAACCATGATTTTAATTTGTATTTTACCAAATATTCTAATGAGTTAACATATGAAAAATATAACATTGTGTATATAACAGATGAAAAATATAACATTGTGTATAAAATACTTTAAAGTTGATTTCTTCTGGCAGTATGTTTTTAATTTCATTTCAAGTTAATTTTGTATTAGAAGTATACTGATCATGAAGATTTCTGTTTCTGTGAATTTATCAATCTAAACTGTGTACATTAGACACAAGGAAATCATCGCGTAGTACATCTCAGCCATCGGCATATATTGCAGATCCGAATGCCATGTCACTATAGTAATATATCTAACTTATCATACATTTGTTTTCTTTTTGTTTTTTGTTTTTTTGGTTTTTTTTTTAGGTGAGGGAGAGAGGAGGGAGAGCGTAGTAACAATAATAATAATATACAGTAAATAAATAGTGGCAAATGCTTGCTCTGGTGTTAACATCGTTTGAAACTTTTGGATGAACATTTAGTCCCCAAATAATAAATTAAATCAAAAATTGAACTTTCCTAAAGCCAGTTGGATGGACCACCTGTATAATTTGTAGGATCCTAGTTCGAATCTTTGTCTGATCCATAAATTATTCCTGTACTTCTATAAATATTTTGAGTAAAATAAATACAAATTCGTGGTTACAAACAAAATAATCTTTATTTCTATAGGAAATTTACAAATCCGGCAGTTACTACAGATATGCTGCCATTTCAACGAGTAGAGGGACAACAAAGTAACAAAGACAAATGGAAATAATGATATGTACATATGATGTCACACCACGTGACCACAATGGCGTCAAATCATTGGACGAAAGGTACGTCACAAAGCTACATACAAAAGGTTTTTTTGTGCACTCTTTTTTGACGATACGTTATAACATCCACTGAGATAGAGCCACTGACGTCAGTAAGATGCGAATGACGTCACATTTACGTGAATTACGTCATTTTGATGAATATTCTTGCTTGTAGTTTATTTTTGGTTTATTTGAGAAATATCTTTTAATATTTAAAATGAACATTAAGTGGAATTCTTTGGAAATTTTTAGCACTCGTTCGCCATATCAGGGCCTACCACGTGACGTCACTCGGAATGACGTAACCCACTAAGCACTAATCGAGCCTTGTGTCTATTAAGCGATGACCGTAAACAAACTATCACACAGTTGTGTAAATTTTAGATAACACATCATACAATGAAACTGATCAAAATACACAACCAAGTAATAGTCCTTGGCGTGTTGTTTACAGTCACTTATACATATATAACTATTTCTAATCTCTACCTACTTCATGTAATGCAATTTCTAATCAAACTATTTTCTAGTATAACTATTTCTTTTATGACCATTACTAAGTCACGTGATTTACGTCTTAGCGATAATCCTATACTACGGCTATTTCCAAATACGATTTGTACAGTAATCTTATATAGCTTGGTAATGACGCCGTGTGACTGGCCGAGTATGAACTATTATGAATGGCGGAACACATTCTACCCGAAGAATTGGCAGGAAAGAGGTAAAATGGGGTTTGGGGTCTCCAATTTCCTTAATTTCACAAATCACATATGATAACTATGAAAAACGAATGAAATGGTACGTGAAAACTTGAAAAATATGTTTGATTGTTTTCTGAACTCCTCCACTCAGCATGGTCATCAAGTTTTCAGAACGCTTCAATTTATTGTTATACATGTGACATTAATTAAAAACATTTGGTGGAATATGACTATCAGATATTTTTCTCTAATTTGTTCTTTACTTAAAACACATGTTGATACACACAAACACCTAAGTTTCGCTACAGACTTGCATAAAAATACACAGTTTTATAGTCTATGATCTCGATACACATAATTTGACCGTTCACGTAACGAAAAAAACTTCCCGATATTAGTATTTGAGGAAATATTGGGGATAACACGACCTTTGACCTCTTCGAACAGGTTTCAAGCACTGTCTGATGACTTGTGACACTGCTTTCTGGAATGTTCACGTTCCAGAGTGAATGACCTTGATGACCTAGTTTTTTTTTCGAGTCAAGATTTTGACAAATTAATGATTTTACAGATTTCCAAGAGCAAGATTAAAGCAAAGTGTACAGTATTCATCTTCCAATCGCTTCATATCACGTCATGACAAAGAAAGTAAGAAGTTAAAGGTATGCCCCCTTGTTTTTAATTTTTGAACTGAAGAGGTCAAAGGTCAGGGGATCATAAGAGTCCAATCATAAAAATAAATATCTACAAGGAATATCCATGGAACTACTAATTATTTAAATAATGCCAAATTTATACTTTTTTCCAGCACGGACATCATTAATTCGATGACTTGTCATAAATTAGCTTAGATTTGCATAAATATACAAGTAAAGAGAGTCCGGAACTTTGTACTATACATCACACGAGGAATCATTTCCGGTATCACACTTCCGGCGGGTTATAGTCACGTTTGCTCTTTTGCTACACAAAGTCTATGAGGCTGATAAGTCACATACATTTTTTTTTATTTCCTCATTCCTGGAAAATTTTGGGTAAGGAGTAAAATTTGGAACAAAATGAGGGACAACCACACATAAGATTAGTTATGTGTCTCCTGGGTTGGTAGATTCTGAAAGCTTCTATCTAAATATAGCATCCACTCTGGTGGTTCAGGTTTAAGAAACTAATACACACGACCATATAGGGCAACCATCAACAACTGTTTCTTTTTAAACTGTGATGCAGCCATATGGTCCTATTTCATCCACACCGATTGGTTAAAATCACTAATTCACACGAATCTGTTGTACCAGCACCACCGGCGTTCCTCAATTACCGATGTTTCTTGTGTGTCTCGAGCCCAGCGGGTTGTACTGAAATACAGTAGGCGAGGTCAACATTAAACCTACGTTAGTGGTGCAAGCAGGGCCAGTACTGGTCGATAAAATTTGTCGGGGCTTGATCAAAAGGTCGAATAGCCAACACAGAATTGAATAGTCGAAACGAGTTGTCCAGAACACCAAGTGATTATCAAGCAACACCAGGCCACGTGGTACCCATGGTGAAAAGATTACACGTCGTTGCTAACAACCTTTGACAAAAACTATTAAACATGGTGGGTTGGAAAACATCATGTCAATGTAACTTTACATGGCTGGAAGATATCACATGGTCGACAAGGCTACACGTGGTAGCCTAGACAACGGCAGGTCGACTTGACAACACGTGGTAGCATAGACGACGAATGGTCGACAGGACTACGCATGGTTGTTGCAAAATCGACTATACTACACCTGATAAATTGACTTCACGACACGAAACTCACTAGACTAAACAATATATTTTACTAGATTACACATGGTTGATGGAACAACACCTTATCGATTAGACAACACTTTGTTGGCTAGACAACAATACGATCACCTAGGTAACTATAAACAACATGTAGTTTGTTAGACAATACACGGTCCACAACATTGCCTATGTGCATATATATCATTTTGCTTCTACGGTAAGCTTGTCTTGTGGTGTTTAAATAACGTTTTGCGAATCCTGTCTACATCGGAACCTCTTTAGTCCGGACACTTTCATGGTTCAAGATATTTCTCTAGGCTACTCATACTGTATGTTTGACCTAGAAATCTGTGCTTTAAACATATTAACTTCCAAAAGACCAAACTCCACACTAACAAAACTAACTAAAGTACGTCGTGAGAATGGCCGTTAAACAGAGGGGGGGGGGGATAATTTATATATATATACATTAATCATTTCAGAAGCGAAGAAAGTGTTCAAAACTAAAAGAGGTTCCGATCTATAAAATTTATTTTCGAATAAGATTACTATTTCGAAGATAACTTAATGTCTGCACGAATCAATACGTAACTAACTAAAGCACTGGCGTCAAAAAGGGAGATAACTGACTTAGCAACAAAGGGATATATCTATACGCATACGATTGCAACGACTAATCATGCATATAATTTGTATATAAAATAATAATAAATTGTGCAAAAATATAATGATGCAACTAAAGTTTTTGACGTATTTCAAACCATGTTAAAATTGTAAATAAAAATATGCACGAGATATAGATATAAATAAATATTCAATGGCCTACACCAGTTCTCATAATAATAAACACTTAATTCCATACCGATTAACTAAAAACGGTTACGTTATCAACACCAATTAATCCAACACCAAAAGTGATGACGAAACGCACATAAAGACTAGCACGTCTTCTAGGAGAAGCAGAAATACCAATATCTGAGAGAATTAGATGGTGCGTCTAACCTAGAACATTGGCATCGTGAGTTAGCCAGGTACGAAATTTATTATCAATCGTCTAGGAGAGATTATTACGAGTAAAGCCAGTTACGCAGTACATTGCTAGGAGTTATTACTGTTGTAAGTAGATTTCGGATTTTAGATTGGAGCGTCTCGTTTGAAACATTGTTGCTAGCCATGTCGCGCATGCGTATCTTGGATTGTGAATTATTACGTATTATCAGTAGGGAAAAGAGAATTGTCTTGGACTACTTTACCAAAATGGCTGCCTTCTTCATTGGGCCTCACAACTTGTCCTTGTCTGAAATATCACCAAGGAAACGTGTGAGGCAAAAATAAACTATAAATGATAGTAACCTCGTGCTATTAGTGGAAACGTCTTCACACAGGGCAGACGAGAGGCGTGTCAAATGCGATGACGTCACACATGGTAAGGCAACAGATTTGGCGTGATACTATTACGCGCGCAAATGTGTAGGTTCAAGCTGTTATTATGAAGAGTAGATCACAAAACAGGAAGTAGATTCAGATCCGAAAGGTTTGGGAATCGATAGCATTGCGCAACAAACCTTTTGGTGAGGATGTAGACTTTTTGAGCAATCATGTGACATGAAATGCCCTTAATAATATCACAAGACGGTAGAGTGACATCACAACAGAAAGAGTGGTTTGAAAGTGAATTCTGGTAGTTAACTAAATTTGGAACAGGAGAATGATAAGTATCCGATATTGAAATAAGTGTGTAATCAATTTATGAACATTTTTTTTATTAAACATAGAAATTTATCCAAAATATGTGATTTTAAAACGAAATAAAAGAATGGCGAGAATTTCCACATTTAAGTAAAATGAGAGGAATGTTTTTGCTCGGGAAAAATCGAACAGCAAAGCTTTTGTTTGCAAAGAACGAATCCCTTATTCCATCATTCTTTAGTATTATGAAAATCCATTTTGTATGTCAACTTTGTGCATGCTTGCTTTCTAGACTTGAAAATTGTTCCAAGCTTTTTCTGGTTTAAGAAAAAATGGTGCGATAATGTTAGTTTCGGCCGATAATATTCACGATTAGGCAAAAGGCCATTATAATATCACAAATGCCATTCATTATGTTTGTATACTTATTTAAAAATTGACGGAATGTACATGTACCATTGGTAAAATTGGCCGTTTTGTCACAACTTATTAAATCGCTCATTGAGCACAAAAGCTGAATGCAATGCAGTTTCTTAAGCTGATGATTTTTCACAATTTGTTAGGAAAGTGGCGATAGCTGGTGATGACTATTAGTACGTTTTGAAGAAAGATGTGAGGACGGGTGCAATGGTCAGTTATTCAAATTATGACAGTTAGAAAGAATGAACATTTATTTATAAAGGTTTTAGTACAAGAATTTTTTTTTACATTGATAAAGAATCACTTTCGTAGGAATCATTCTACCTAAAACATCTTTTTTAAATAATTCCAATTTAAATCAGAGAATTTAAAATCATTCAAGTTAAACTTTGGTTTCAGTTTTACATCAAAATAACACTTCGTGCTAACAAATGAAAGTGACTGAAAATGAAGGAAATCCATTACCAGATGAGAAAATAACGAGGAATGATGAGCTCTACATGCGAGTCGAGGATCACAATTCACTTTGTATATCTACTCCGTTAACGGAAAACCACAGTTCACGGACAAATATGTAAATTTTGGCAATTTCAAATATATGAATACTGAATAATTTAGATTAATTTTTATATGAGTATATTTACCCAGGATGTTTTTACTGAAAAAAATCCTTTATACTTAAATCTTCTGCCAATTACAATTAACGCGGGATAAAAAATATTTAATGCTTCAGTGAAATACGTCTTATTCAAATACTCTTTTGAATGGCAACAAAAACGTTTGATCAATCAATATATCTCTTATTCTTTACCCGTATCAATATCTATATACCTGCTACGTCTAATATATTGTGAAAGCAAAATAGATGAAAAATCCAAAATTCCTTTAAAAAGAAAGAAAAGAGACAGACAACATAACTCGGCATGACATGCATATATATATATATATACCATTGGCATGCTTTCTAGAGAGTTCTAAGCCTTATCATCATAAAAACAACAAAGCATCGTGATTCTCACCTCTCTTATCCTCCATCAACCGTAAAACTGCATCAGCAGCATTAAACAAAACAATAACCTTCAAGGCCAAGTGTTTCATATATATATTTAAAACACTATCACTTCAACAACACAATAAGTTTAAACGTCTACGTAGTGTTTCCCTATGTAATAAGTTGTACATGGTTAGTAACAAAATGAAATTGTCCACATCATGCTATATTGACTATTGACTTGAAATCATCAGAACCCATTCTAAAAAGGTGTTTAAGATGTGTTTCCAGATACGTTTAGAGGACAGAAAAGTTGTGTTGTTGTACTGATAATGACTCGGCCCAGAAATATTTAAGTGGTAGTTCCAACCTAAAACATTGACGTGTCTTTTTGGTCGGTACAAAATGTTTGGAAACTCCAGCTTCAATGTTATCTCAAAGGCATTTGTAACCAACTCTTATCTTACGCAGCACCCTTTCAGAAATACCAGATGAATTGTGCATTTTAAACACACGTAGAACAAAAAGATTTATATTGGCAACTGTCCACATTAATATCCTTTCGACACGGTTGATTTCACCATCATCAAGTCACGTGATTAGGTTTTCAGCGAAAAGTTCCATCTCTTTTCAGGCATCATTTCCATTCCGTATAGAAAATCTCTAAAATTCCAAACACGCTTTGGATAACGATCGATGTCTTCTCAGTTTCAAATAACTTGCAAGCGCGTGTATGACCAAGATCTGAGCTATATACCTATGCGTAGCCAGAACGGTGTCAACTTCAAGAGGGCTTGTAATGGTATAATTTAGTGAACATCAACGTGATCACGATTTTTCCTAATTTTACTACCTTACGAGGGACACCAGGTCAATGTGCGAAGTTATACCAGCATTTTTTTGTCCGAGATTGCTCAAATAGGCAAACATATTTGCAACTATGACGAGATAGGCAAGACACAAAGTCGAATTAACTCATTCGCATAAAACAAAAAATGAAAAAAGAAAAAATTATGTCCTTTTGGGAAAAATAGCGATAAAACTGGTTCAAAAAGCTTGGTAGTCAAGGATTTGCATTTTTAAACTTGGGTTTGTCCCAGTAAAATGTGGAAGACATCAGCATAAAAAGGCAACTACGTGGAACTAAACAAGGAAAATGAATGGAAGGATGACAAATAAAAAAAATATAAGAGCACAGGAGTCTGACACAACAATAATGATATTTATTGTGTTTTTATACATTGTGTCAAGTACCTGTGGTTGCAAGGTAACAATTGATAAAAAAAGTTTTGCCAAGGAAAAAACATATTCATCAGCAGCATGAACTGAGAGGAGAAGAACTGCCTGAGGGTTTTGTTTTTTGGAAAGAAAAAAGATGCTTGGGATTAAAAAGGATTTTTTTTCAAACAGTAACAAATCTTATCTTAAAAACTTGTTCCAACTGAGGGGTAAAGCGCAACACTGGACAGATTTAAAAAAGTAACTGGACTTGGGTCTTGTTTGGTGGACATAAGCGTCACACAAATCCAGGTAAAACATGTCACTCTCTTTACCTGTCTGTTGTATATAGTGTCGAAACATTTACACTGTAGAGCAAACAAAAATAAATCAGTATTTGCATTCTGTAAATTTACAACATGGTTGATTACATCAGTGAGACTGGGGATTACGATTTATCAGTGCACCAGGTGATAACACTATGCTGTATTTTCATCAAAATTTATGTTGTACAGTTGAACCTTATTGTATCAAACTCAACAGGATCACTGGAAAAATTCGAGATAGCCATGTATTTGATTAAGTTAGACAGGGACTGGCAAAATGCTTCAAATTAAACAGGGACTTTGAGTTACAGGAGTTCGAGATGACAAGGTTCGACTGTATGCAGGTACCCTATTCCATGGGCAATAACCCCCACCCATATATATATATATATATAATATATATTATACTGTATATTATATACTCTCCGACTTTGAGACACAAGTATACTGTTCCCCTAATCTAAGTTTCCTGCAGGACAAACCTATAACACAGGTAACACTGCTTCTTTGAAATTGCCTTCCATTAACTGATTAGTCACTAAATAGCTAAGGCAATAGTATTTGACCTCTAATTGTTTTGCATTAGTAATGGTGTATTAAAAATTATGTGCATATTAATTAGTAATCCCACTGATATAGTTTTCTGGTTTAGGCAGTACATATATTTACATACCTTGAATATGTAATATTATGGGATGTAGCATGGTGGAAATTTATTTGGAAGTATAGGATGTACACTTTATAAATATCAGAGAATAATTCTATAATGTTTTGGATATTTTGTCTTGCGTAGGATCATCTCGTTTATACAGACGGCTTTTAATGATTCCAAAGATAAGGTGTTACTTGTATTCATTCAACATCTTCATTAACTCAAGCACCAGATTTTTTCAAATTTTGCAAATATTTGGGGAAAATTTGGTTTAAACAATGGGATGGTGTACATATATAATTGCTTCAGCAATTTTACACTAAGTAATATTCCCAGTTTGAGTATGCATATATGTGTTTCATGAAACAGAATTCAGACTTTTCCCTTTTGTTACTATAATACTTTTTGTCATAAAATGTGTATCTTTGGTCTACTGAACAGTTAATTTACAGACCTGCCTACAGATTCCTTACCTTTACGTTTTGTAACACTTATGTTAAGGTGTTAAAAGTTGTGTGTGCATTTTTAAAAAGTGCCATCATAAAACAGAGCATTGATGATGTGTTAAAATAGTGGAACCGATGTACTCTGGATTTTTGGGTGGTTGTCTTTTATGAACTGGATGACTTTTTAAATTTTATAAAATTTTCTTCACACTTCTGAAAAACGATTTTGTCTGTTGAAAGTTGGGCATGACCACAGTAACGAGGTTCCACCATACAGACACTTTACAGCACTGGGAAAGAATACGTTCATTTTTAACGAAACCTGGAGACAAAACAACAACCTATACCACAGAAACATCACCATGGCTTCGGAAGAATTTGGGCAGAGAATAACCAGCTTTTAAAATGAATCTCTGCTGAAATTTGAATTTCCAAAAGTAACAATGAAGCCAAGCATACAAATCAATGATATATCACACCATGCATTAATACAGTACCGAGGCTAGTTCTAACAGGAAGCAGAAAGTTGCTGGCTTTCTTCAAAACATACAGAAACGACAGAGGCAAACAAGTTTGAATAACAAGAAATAGAGAAAAACATTCAGTTATTTTCTTTTTCTCTCTGAATCATTTTTATTTACAAATCATAACTAAACACACCATGCAGAATTTTTCCATGTTTTAATAAAAATGGGAATCTTTGTCAATACAAATTCTGGGTTGTTTTCATGAAAAAGAAATAAGAATTCTTGTCATACAATTTTATTCTTAAACACAAAGAAAAAATTTGAATAAGAGAAAAAAAAATGAAATCAGCACCCGCGGAATGAGTTGTGAGCATTCTTTTACACAGAAGAACACTTTCCGACAAAGCGGGGCGTGTCCAGGTGGACTTCTATTACGCTTTAGCAACAGGCAAATTTTGGCTAGTACTGCATTTCTTAGCACTGAAAAATTGACAGACTTGGTTCTAATCAACCATATGATGATAAAGTTGATATTTATATCTGGTCTGTCACCTTACAGAGTCAACAAAAGGCATGCCCCGATTACTATTAAAAGTTATTAAGATCTGTCTCTTTTTCAGGAAAATCCATGAATATAGGTCAGAGGCATGCCTCTATCTAAAATTGCCTCAAACAGGTGATTTTTTTTTCTATCTAAAGTCACATCACACAGGGGGTTTGTTTCTATCTAAAAATAACCTCACACAATGGCACCCTTTCATCTCAAACAATCTCACACAAATACTGGTCATCTCAATGTTGATATGGGGTGGAGAAATGGAAAAAAAAGTACAAACGCAGGCTAGGATACAAAACCAGGAAGTATGAAAAATGCTAATATTGTTCACAAAATGTTCACTGTACAAAATTGAGAGGTGAAAACATTGATCCATGGGAGAGAACACACTCCAAGGAAGATAACTCACACATCATAAATACACTGTGAAGTTAGTAACATTGAAAAACAATTAGTAAGAAATGCAGTACCGTTGCCTGTTCAGTGGAACAACAAGCCAGGACAGCCGAGAAAGATTGTGAAGATGGAAAGCGGCCCAGTGGAACTTAAAGGTAACCCTTGGGCATGAAAGCCCAGCCTCCTGGGGCCATAGTGGCCCAGAAGGGTGGAACTCCAGCCCTAAGGATGTCAACATGAAGCCAGGTATCCTGGCCCCATGGGGAGTGTGGCCGACTTTAGCAGAGGTTAAGATAGAACTGCTATACGTTATTGATATTGCAGAGATAATATAAGCTATATATATATATATATCTATTGGTACACTTGAGAGTTCTAGGGAATTATATAGAATCTATATCTTATTGCACAGGAATACCACCAAGATTTGAAAATGATGCGTTTTCATTGTTTCATTTTTATTCTAAATACAATATTTCCAAATGTCTATATGAAACCTTGGTGGTACAAGAATGCTAGCTCCATGCAGTGTTTAAGTTTAAAGTTATAGTCCCAGATAGCGGAAGTTTGTCAAAATCATTACCTCTTATCTAGGCCTCCACTGAAAGTGAAAAAAAATCCCAACCCATCACTGTTAATCGGCTACCCTGTCTTACTGTTCACGGCGCCACGCTCTCGGGTCCTCGTAATGTCATCCCTTATAATGCCATTCAATTACAATGATTCTATACCAGGTAAAATGACCCTTCTACAGTAACATTTCCTCATTACAACACAACACTGACAACAAGTCACTATAATATTCCATCCCAGTAAACAAAATATGTAACACTCCAATATAAAGCCACCTGGTTAAAGTAATATAAGTTAACAGATTAACACCATACCAATTAACACGAAAAAATTAATGGAATTTCTTTTAAGCTATCCCATTAAACTGACAAGAGCCAACAATTTAATGACATTTACTTAGATATATCAAAATAATAAAACTAACTAAAAACACCTCCTTATATTGCCATTCTTTCCAATCAGTTTTATAAATAAATAACCTCTCTGTATAATGCTACCCCAAAACTTGTCAGGACAAGGACAGTCAGGACAGTACATTAAAGTGAACTCCATTAATACTATCCAATTAAAATATTGCATTTCCCAAATGTGTTAAATTAATGCATTATATATTGCTATTCCTGAGAATAAAATACTTAAATGAATTTTTTCAAAAAAAAATTGTTATTTTAAAGAAAGAAACAAATGTAAATAAGGCAGTAGACATGACAGGAGCCGAGAGAATGGTTTTGTGCCTCAAGTGAAAAATTAGCCATTTCATATTTTTTTCAGAAAAATATGAAATATCTGTGAAAACTGGTATCAAGATGTACAAGATTTAAAACTGAATGATAATATATTTATATATATATGTCACTATGGTTCTTGAGTGTGATATAAATAAACACTGAATCAGTCACGCACACACACAATGCACACACATCTGCATACAGATACGCACATACACATTCGTACTGTAAAAAGGAAGGGCTAGGGCACTACTGAAAAACCAAGCTTTGCCAACTAGGAAATAAACAAATCTCATCATTCCAGCAGCTATATACAAAAATAAAATAACGAAAAACTTGTGTCGACTGAAAAGCAAAATTGTTACGAATTTCTGCTTTTATGGGAAAAGGCAACATGCTGGGAGTAAAACAGTTATCTAAACTTCAACAGACAAGGATGATACATAAAAACAAACAACCCCAAAGGGAGGTAACTGTCAGTAATCTGTTCGCTTCATAAAAATCATTTTTAGTTGATGCTGAAGTGTCCTCAGGTGAAGAAAACCTGAAAGCACTTTACTATAGAAGGACAAGCTTGGTTTTTAGCAATAACCCGAACAATTATCAGAGAAGACCAACAAACAATTTAGACAAATAAATAAACAATAACACTCTTCAACATACCTGTTACTATCCAATAAACACTGTATTCGTGACCAGAAACTGATTTGTATATTTGTTTATTTTTTCTATTAACTTACACTCTACCCAGTTAGAGAAACTTGTTCCAAATAAATATGCATATAAAATATTATGGGATACATAAGTGAACTATGACATCACAGTGAGATTTCATGTACAAATATCACTCAAATGACTTCATTTTACCCATGTAAAATCACAATGAAGAGTTACACAAAGGGCAACAACTCTGGAACAAGTTTCCCTAAGAAATAGACAAAAACAAGTAGTTTGTTGGTTTTCTCTTTTGATAAGTAAGTAAGTAGGTCACGTTAACCATTTCCAATTCATTTGACAAAAAATGTTCACATTTCTATGCGAGATATTCAACACAAAATATCACCCAAATTCAGTTGACCATAAATAGACTCCCCAATACTTTCTGTTTAATTGTGCTCTATTCAAGTTTTAAATCAAATGTAAAGCTCTAGTATCATAGCTAATTTTTGTTCAAATCTATAAATGGGCTAAATCTTGATGAATTTATAAATGCATTTCTATACAGTTACATCTAACACTTGAAAGTCATCCCCTGTTCGACATGAAAAAGGCCCAAAATCAGTGGCCAGTTAAGGAACCCTAACGTATATACAGCTTTGTAGGGGGGAAAAATGGAAAATCTGGGTCCATGTTTTATAGAAATGTTGATCTCTGCCTCAGTTGAAACTTTTATAACAGGGAAAATGATATAAATTTTACAGCTCAGGTGATACTGCTGAAATATACAGAGCTCCTTAAAACAGATAAGGTTTATCTATCAACAATGTCCACACTACACAAGAAATTTATCTCTTTAAATTTTCTTAACCTTCACATCCACTAATACTTTTCCTCCGCCCACACCCCACCCACCAAAAAACCTCCCAAACTTCATCCAATTATTGAGTTACTTTCAGAATAAAAGTTGTTTGAAAACTCTCTAAATATTTTAATGAGATCAAAGTTTAATTTTTTTGTTTTTGTTTTTTTGTTTTTTTTAATTTTTGTTTCAGAAAAAAAAATCTACCATGAGACAGGAATAATCTCTGTTGATTTTTGAGAGTAAGAGAAACAAAAAAAAAAGAACTACAACAGTTCCCATGACGATAAGCCTATTAAATTAGTGTGAAAAAATCTACAAACAAGACAGTTAATTTGCTACAGACTTTGGAATGGAACAAGGGAGACAACTATGGGTGACTTGGGGATACACACACTGTTCAATGTAGAAAAGTCATGTACAAGTAAGTCGAGTAAGCAACCCAAACAATCAAAATCCAATGAATTTCTAGAAATGGGTTTTTACCGTCAGTGAATTTGCGAGCACAGAACTTCAACGTTTCGTCTATAAGTATCACAGGGAATGAGATCTTGAGTACCGCAAACCATTCCTCAAGCCCAAGAGGCGTGATTTGGAAGATGGTCTGAAAGAAATAAAAGCAGTGTCAGATTCATATACATTGTAAATGATTCACAAATTAAAAATATCCTCCACATAGAGATGGAAGAAACAGATCTCCTATTAACAGGTATGGGAAATGCAGATATACTACACAGGTATGGAAAATAAGAGATATCCTGCACACAGCTAAGAGGATACAGATATCCTACACACAGGTATGGGGATCTAGATATTCTCTAAATGTAATATTCCCATTAATATTTGAAGCAGCTGGCCTGCTCTATATATTTGCCCACAATATATCTGGTTTAGAGTGGATTAACAGCAGGCTACTATTGCCAGCAACAGGCTTTTCACAAGAACACTGACATGGTTATGAAATTTCCAACATGGTTGCTATCATGACCTTAAAAGGTGAATAACTTACCGACATGACGTTAACGTAGAGGATGAAGAAGTGGAGTCCCATGGACAGGGCCATGGCTCCTAACAACCATTTGTTACACCAGGGTGGCATCACCATGAGGGACTGGTTCTCAGACAAGCTGCAAAGGCAAAATCCTTCCATCTGTACATCAATTACACTACATAATTTTGTTAATATCTCCCCATAAATCCATATTCTTATTTTTTTGCAGACCTGTGACTGCTAAATGACATCTTCCTACCATTTTCATGATTTACTTCACAAACCTTTTCCAGCTCAACATCCTCCAATAAATAAATTTTTTCTGCTATATTCATATTTCATAACTTCCATCACATGCAAAAACCTGCCCACATGAAAATTTCTCCAAATCTCACTTTAACAAACCTTATTTCATATTTTGCTTTCAAATTTTATCATCATATGAAAACGTCTGTTTTGCTTCATAGACTTATGACAATTTATTGATCCTTTATGTTTCATCCTTTCTAATGACGTCAGAAAAAATCTTCAAACTTTCATCAGCCCAACAAAACTTTTTATTTGAAATTTCAATAGTCATTTATATTGAAAATCTACTAGTCACAAAATGCTTGGCCTTTGATATTGTACATCCCCCAAGAAAAGCATGCACCAAGTTCTAAACCACTTCTCTTTTTAATATTCAGATATTTTCAATATATAATAAAAAACAGATAAAAAAACTTTTAAAACTCAGGGCCAGCATGCATTTTTTTCACCAGGGTCCGACTGGGGTGTCTACTCATTATAAACATAGTTTGTAGGCAATATATAAAGGTGAGATGTTCCATGCTTGAAGGGAGAAAAACTTGGCTTGCTCAACAGCTCATCAAGTACATCAAATCAAGCACAACTCACCAAGACAAGTTAACCAAGTTACACCAAACTTACCAAGATGAGCCCAACTGACAGAAACGACAAGCTCTGCTCACCCAGATAAGCCTAGCTCATAAAATTATGCAAAGCTTACCCAGAAAAGAGCTTACCTGTCTCATATAAGCTATCAAGATGAGTCTAACTGACAGATGAGCTTAGCTCACCAAAATATGCTTATTTATCAAGACAAGCAAAGCTCATCGATGTTTGCAAGGAGTAGACACCCGACAGGAATATGTGCGAGTAATTTGTACCACAAAGGGAAACAACTGGACATGCAAACCAAAACCCAATCTACAGGTTTCATCTTCATCGTAAAAATCTCAAATATTTCATCTGAAAATTTTTAAATAGACAAATCACCAACTACAGTGAATCTATAACCTTACAAACATATCTAATCGTCCAAATATTTTAGTAGCAACATCTTTCTCGTTGATGCAAGAGTTCAATTTCATTGTTATTTACACTCAGTTATAGATCTAGTATACAGACGATGTCCAAGCAGAATTTCCCTCTGTAGTACAACAGTGTAAACTGGATTCTGCCCTCCGACTCATCACCGAATTAAAATGTATAAAATGCCAAAACAAAAAACACTAATGTTAAACAGAAGAATGGGAAAATCAAAACTATCAGAATTTTATAATCGTTTTCTACAACGCTAAAATTTTGACGGACAAAGAGAAATCCAGAGTCGGAGAAGTGCAGACTAGGTACACTCGGCTCAGAAGATTTGGTTTTTTCCCTTTGTGATGCAAATTTGCTAACACACCAGCAGTACAACTTTGTCCACAGTCTGAACAGATCACTTTTGCTTTTTGAAGAAGTTTTAACTTGAATTATTTTTTAATGATAAAAAAAATATTTCAAAATTGAAACAAATTCTCTGTTTTAACCATTAATTATTATTTTGAAAAAAAAAATGGAAACAAAAATTCCAAAAACTAATCATGAAATCTGTCATGGACAATTTCACAATTGGTTTCCATTGTCAAAATTTGATAAATCAGAACTCGAAAAGAAATGTAGGCAGAAAGCCACAACTAAGGCTATGGACAAAGTAATACCTATACCTGTTGTAGAGGGCACAAAAACACCTGAAACTTCTCTCATCCTCAAATTCCTATGATGTCACATTTAACTGCCCAAAGGAAACTCTTAAAATGAAAGTCTATACACTTTTTTAATGCTCTGAATTCATTTCACAGATTTTATTTAATTGCGTCTTTCAATGCAAAGTGTATTTTTGTGGCAAGGAAAAGAAATATTGGTGAGATTTTCCTGCTGAGGTGAGAGACTTTGGGTTGTGCCCCCTTTCCAGTCAGACCCTTACCTGTTGAGAGCATTAAGCATTTCAATGACGACCAGGACGGACAGTGCCATCGTCATGGGTGCAGGGTGGTCGAAAACCTTGCAGTCGACGCCAAGGAAACGCTCATCCTGAGCCAGACACTGTGAGTGATGGGTCTATTGAAGAAATATCAACCGTTACCACACAATACCCTCACCGTCGCTCCAGAATTACACTGACACAGGGCATATGTCTGAAATACCATCTGTACACCAACAGGGGGCACCACAATGAAGCATATGCCTGGCCAGGGAGAATTCTGGGAAGACATCACAAGCACAGGAAAACCAGAGTCAAGATATCAGTCAAGAATTTTGGTAAAAGCGGTTTTTAAAGTTGAAATTAAAACTAACCAGGTACTGGTAAGTATTCAAGATTCAGTGTTCCTGTGTTTGTGTGTCAGAGCTAACCCAATGCGAGTCTAATGACTCCCCTCTTCATGCTCCATCCAACCATGCTGTGATCATGGTCAAGATCAGTTCAGACCAGAGCTGACTAGTGGTCTATGGTCTACAGTCCATTTCAAATCTGAATTAACTTCAACTGACTGAAAATTTACACATTACTGAGTATTCATGGTTAGAATGTTTATGTACTTCACATAATGGTTTTACTTTAATAACAATATTTCATTCATCTTGTCTCATTTCAAGTAAAATGAACAGATAATTAAATTAAGTTGGGGGAATGGACCATCTGACCTTTAGGGTCTCTTACCAAACCGGACTTGACCATTGATCAACACATGGCGTCAAACAGTGACCAATAGGGGTAATACCTGTTTAGGGCATTAAGCATTTCAATGGTGACAAGAACAGAGAGAGCCATCGTCATAGGCTCAGGAGCACCGAACACCTTACAGTCGATTCCGGGGAACATCTTTGGCTCAGCAGGGCACTGCATGTGATGAGTCTGCAATTCGAAGTCAGCAACCGAATTCTAAACATGTTCAGTATCTATGAACTGAAAGTTATCTCCGTTCCTGGTGTACAGTGTAACTTACCTATTTTTGGCATAGGACCAAAAAGCTTTGGTTCTTCAAACTCTGGGCTGACAGATAAGCACCAGTTAACACCCAAACTAATGATTATGTTGCCATGGTTATGACACTTAGGCTGAAATATTTCATTAAGTATCGCTCTTTCCATCATAAAATGTACATCATAATTTTCCCATTGAAAAAAATCACTTCCCTTCTGTAAGATCCTCAATTATATACTATTATGATGATAAAAGAAATCTCTCTCCTTCCTTTCCAAAAGAAATCATGCTTCTTGCTCTCCAAAACCAATATTTTAACTCCAATTCCCCGAAAACTTGTTGGAAATTCTTGTTTCAAAAAGTACACTATCAAATCCTAATGTCCGTATAGTATGAAACCTGCTTTTACTTTCTGTTCTAAATTACATGTCCTTATTTCTAATATTCTGTTACCTTTCTTTGATTTTTAAATCACATTAATACCTTCAAAGGATTGTAATTTTTAAGCCCATATACTCTGCCACCCAACTCTATATAATTACTTACCAACTGGTAGTAGTTGAGTTTTGGCCCCTTATCGTAGACCATGAACCACCAGGCGGCAGCACCAACAGTCGCACATCCAACATAACCTGTCAAGTTTAACAAAAGCAGCTTGATTTCTAAACATTGCAAAATGGAAATCTTTTCTTCCACTTCAACAAGAGAATGACACTTTCATTCTGAAAACAGTGTGCGCCAGTTGTCAAAATGTCTGACATGGTTGGTAAAAATGTCAGAAATTTCAAGACCAAGAATAAAAATAGATGCAGTGCACAATCTTACTAAGATACTATTATGACAGAAAAATGAAAATGTTAAGTGACCTGGATTTTTAAAATCCTTACCTCCAATAGCCATGTATCTAAAGAACAACCAGCCAGTGATGAGACCTTCCTTTGCGCTCCTTGGGGGTTTCTTCATGATGTCCATGTCTGGGGGATTGAAGCCAAGAGCAGTGGCAGGAAGTCCGTCAGTTACCAAGTTTACCCACAGAAGCTGTACGGGGATAAGTGCCTCAGGGATACCAAGAGCAGCGGTCAAGAAAATACTGTAAGAAGACATACAGAAAGTTCTCATCTACTCTTTATCTGCTAAAGGAAATAGATTTCTCAACTATTTTACCTCAACCATAATACCTCTCCAAATTTTGAAGGCACAAACTGCTGAAAGAAGTCATCAGTTATCTGTCCTCTAACATACAATGGAAATACCAAATAATCTAACAGTAAAATGCCTCTATAACAGTCTTATTAGAGTTATCTACCCATGTTTGAACCTCAAGACCTCTGTCTACTTCATCCTCATGAGAAGTCCTATAAACATATAACACAGAGTTGTCTGCCCTTACCATACAACCTCTCCAATGTTGGAGGAAATCAGATATCTGATGAACTGTTTCATGTTGTTGTAGATGGCACGACCTTCTTCCACAGCGGCCACAATTGTTGCGAAGTTGTCGTCAGCCAATACCATCTGTACAATGCAGTCAAGGACAGCAAATGTTTTGAAGACAGAATAATATTACATTGCATAACTTATCAACGATTAAAAGTGTTCATCACCCTACCAATAAAATATCAGGGCACTTTCAATTTTCCCACATAAATAGGCACTGCTCTAAGCTGTTTGTTTCTGTTTTCGTAACAGCATTGGACAGCTAAGTGTCCATCTTGACCAGAAGCAACTTTCCTAAAAATAGCTCAATATCAAGCTTTATTTAGAGGCTACATCAGCACAACAAAAGAGTGTGACAAATTATGGAACAGTATTGTATAGTGACATAATTTGTTTAAATTTTCAACATAAATACCTATTACAGAGAATGACAGCCAGACAATTCTTTTAAAGTATAAATCTACTAGGTTGATTTGGGGGAACAAAATTTTTTATATCATGCAAAACAGGTCTAGTTCTCTCTTCTATGTGGCAGTTTTCTTCAGCATGTGTTTTTTTCAGCCGATTTTTTTATCATTACATGTGCTATGTAAAAACCAATATGGGGATCAAAGCCTCAATGGGATTGCCTAAATTCCATTTTTGCTAGTCAGTCTGATAAGTTCAATCGTATATGGATTTCTTTCATTAGTTATGTAGAAAGGAATATTTGTAAGTCAGTGGAACATAGCAATACTCAATTTGGGATATAAAACTAAACTGAAATTTGCTCTCTGTTTCAATTCTGGCGAAAAATGGACATTTTTTTCAATGGTGACCACCATTAGATTTTCATGAAATCTTACACCATATTATCTGTAAGTCAATTGTTGGCATATCATCTGCATATTGTATTTATTTCAACATTTAAAAGTTTGTGTTAAGGCTTACATACTTAAATACTTTACACATCTTCAATCTTATACACCATATCAAAACTCATAACATTTCAGTTGCCAGTTATGGCATGAACACTCATTAAAGATCCCTTATAATCAGCTTATGGGTAAGGGTGAAATTGCTCTGTATTGAAGTATGAATAGAAAGGATATCGGAGGCAGACTTGGCTACAGCAGTTCCAGATCCCATAGCAATACCAATCTCAGCTTTCTTCAGAGCGGGGGCGTCATTCACACCATCTCCTGTCTGTTAGAGAATCAAAAACAGTCAGTATTTTAACATTGACAATAACAAACAATTCATGAAATCAATATATCAGAGACAAAAATTGACAATTTTTGAGATCTTATTATTGGAAACCATTACCTTTTCCAATTTGATGAAATTTGGAAATAGACAGAAATCAGCCAAAATGTTGGAAACTTTTTTATTATCAATAAACAGATGTACCTATTCATGCAAATAAAAATAAAAATTCACTAATCATCTAACTACATATCAATTGATACCGATAATGTAACACATCTAAGTTATCCATTACGCTAAAAAAAAACTAGAGTATCCTACAGAGGAAACTTACCATGGCAGAGATTTCTCCTTCTCCTTGCAAGTACTCAACAATCTTACTCTTATGGGCGGGCTCTACACGGGCAAACAGACGACTCTTAGTTACAGCCAATCTCTGCTCTTCGGGGGACAAGTCGTCAAACTCACGGCCAGTGAAGGACATACCTTCAGTGGATTCATTCTCACCAAACACACCAATCCTGCGGCAGATGGCTTCAGCAGTGGCCTAATAAATAAAATATAAAGATACAAGGTATTAAACTTATGTCAACATAAATGTGAACTGTCAGATACACTTTATTATAGGCATCAAAAAACCCATTAATAAACGCATTCTTTTGAGACCATCCAAAATGGAAAACTACAAAATTTATGTAATTATAAGTAAGTGCACCTGCTCATTAATATTCTAACATATTTGGACCAGTTATAGTTTTTCTGGAGTCATTGCCCAGATTTCAATACTTTGAGTCTTATTCACTATACTGTGTCATTTTTGAAGTCCATATCAAATGATCATAGAATAGTAGTATGCAGTGAAGATTTGGTGTAAATTTAAATGACAGTCAAATGTTGTTTCTAAATCATAAAGTGTTCAGATTCCAAAATGTTTTTTTCCTTAAATCAGGACTGGATATTATACCTTGTTGTCGCCGGTGATGACAATGACACGGATACCAGCCTTTCGGCAGTTCTTGACTGAATCGAATACTTCCATACGTGGGGGGTCCAACATTCCAACGACTCCGACGAATGTCATATTGGTCTGCAATCAAATAATCGAGATTCACATGAAGGAACAAATGGTTGTGTACAGTATAATTGTGTGAGGTTTAATGCATGTAGCATTTACATTTTTGAATTCATGAAAAAAATAAGTGACACACTAATCCAAAAAAATTTATTCCCCTTGTGTACAAAAGTTAACGACAAAATGAAAATTTCATGTGATTTTCAATTATGATACATTGTAGAGTATATTAAATGCTATTCAACTGAAAATCTGTTTTCTATATCTCGGATATGGCAGATTTTTTTTGACATTACCCTAAGGTATATCTTATATATTTGGATGAAATTACCATATTTAGTAAAGTGCATGCTCTTTAATACCAATATACTGAAGTTGTCAACATTTAAATATCCAAAGTTACTGATCAAGATTTTGTGACAGTCTATTGTAAGAAAGAACCTGTAACTTATCTACCTTCAGAACACAAGAACTTCATCTGTAGAAAATTCTACATTGAAGTAAAAGTGATGACCTACCTCATACTGAATGAATTTGCGGGAGTCTTCAAGGTCCATGTCCTCACGGCGTGGTGGAGCATCAATAGTAGCCAAGGCGAGACAACGAAGGGTATCACGTCCTGAAAAATATACTTATTGTGTATTTCTATAATCATGTCAAAAACTCTGCATTTCAGTCCAACTTTCGTCAATATTACTTTAAATCACATTCCATGAATTTGTTAAAATAACGTTCAAAATTAATTTAAACCTACATAGCACAATTAAACCAAGATAGTATAACTGTTATAAAACCATTACATCTGATACCATTCTCATAGTTAGAGTAATTTTCAGATGTCTTTGCTTTAATTCCTTTGAAGTCTCTTGTCACTTGCATCTGATCAAACCTCTTTAAAATACCCAAATTGCTGCCTGGACAGTGGCAGTCCAATGTGAAATGAAGAATACATATCCTCATCAAAGTTTTATTTGGTTCTACCTACAACTGTTTAAACTGTGTAATAACAATACAGGACTTTACCAGTTCCATAGGCCTTGGTGTGTTTCATGATTTCATTCTTGATGGCAGGTGACATGGGGACCTTGTCCTTTCCAACACGTACGTGTGTGCATCTGTCAAGGAGACCCTCAGGGGCACCCTACAACATAGGTCACAGTTTGTCAAGTTATGGACACAAGACCTTCGTTTTAATTGAATAGAGTTTACGCAATTACTAGATCCTGAGTATCTAGGAAAAAATGTGTAGAAGTTGTCATCAATTTCTGTGTATCTGGCATTCAATTGTGTTGAAAATCTCATCAATTACTGTGTATCTGGCATTCAATTGTGTTGAAAATCTCATCAATTTCTGTGTATCTGGCATTCAATTGTGTTGAAAATCTCATCAATTACTGTGTATCTGGCATTTTTGAAGCAATTATCAGTTTCTATGAATCTAGGATTCCAATGAGGAAGTTGTCATCAATTTCTGTGTACCTAGGATTCAAATGTGTGATAATTGTCATCTGATTCTGTGTAGATTGGATTCAAGTGTGGTAGTCATTACTTAGTCATAAATCATAAACTTCCAGCTGCAGAATCAATACAATATGTGTAGATACTACGAATGTCATCTGCTTGTATGTACCTTTGTCATAGTGACATAATTGCTAACGTATAAATTTAACCATTCTTTGTCATCAACTTTATATGTATTATCACTTTATTTGTACTGATCAACTTGTGTGTAATTTACCTTGGCATACATCCTGGAGCCACCGGGTATTTTTGCTGGTTTGTTTGGTGTACAGAAAACGCTCATGGACTTCCTGTCACGAGAGAATTCCAGTGTGAATTCCTTTGACCACATCTGCTGGATGACATGGTTACAGACAGTACCCTGTTCTCTCAGACTCAGACCAGCACGGTTGGTATTGTAGTAATTCATCTTCTCACACAGAACAGTCAGGGCAGTCTCTGTGGCCTCACCAACCTTCTCATATACTCCCTTGGTCTGTAAGGTAGGCAACGCATATCATCAAATAGCCATGACAGTAAAACTTGAGTACATCACACAAAGGGAGAATATCCATTTGCAAGGATACAACATACACTAGGTCAAGGTCATTTCTTTTAACAAACTCTGCAGCAGTACAAAACAGGAACTAGTTGAATAATGTTAAGACAGACCTTTACGTATCTTTCCCTGATCTTTTTAATGTGATATAAGTTGACCTTTTGATTCTTCAATAAATATATCCATGATTCTGTTTTAGTTTACAAGAAATTTTTTGTTATCATGATATCTGAAGTAGCAAAAAGTAAACTATGGCATTTTAAAGACTGATAAGAAGAAGTTACTAGAAAAGTGTTTCTTCTGCTGCTTTTCATTAAAATTACATCAACAAAAGTTAGATGATGACCACTAACACAAAATTTTGTGGTCATCAAAAATCAGCAGAGATTTAGATACAAATTGTAACGCTTTACTCACATCATTGTAGTCTACGCTGGAGTCGTTACACATTGCGCAGATTGTAGCCATCTCCTCAAGACCCTCGTAATCAGAGGCTTTCACCTTCTTACCTCCCATGTACCTGTAACATTAGAATTACATCCTCATATACTTGGTCTCAACATCAATGAATTAACAGGGCATTTTATCATCAATATTCATATTCTCATTTAAATACGGTTACTTTTTGTTGGTATAAGATACAATCTTTATGCGTATCTATTGAACTGGCTGTGATATTATTTTTCTAGTTCATGAAGAATTAATATTTCCCAATTCATTGGTCTGTGAAAACACAATACATGTAGCTACAAATCAACACTGTATACAATACACTAAAACAAGTAAGTATAAATTTCTAATCTCATCACTGCTAACAAAGGCTATCTTACTTTCTTTACATTGACACAATTATATTTAACTTTTTTTCGTTACTATAACTGGCAACGCCTAAATTTATGACACTGATCGTGCTACTTACACGTCACCCTCTGGAGCATAGGTAGAGCCGGTGATCTCGAACTGCTGGGTCTGAATATCATTACCCTCAACCTTGCTGAACACAAACATCTGAAACAACCAACACAAGCATTGTTACACGTAACACTTACAGAAATAGCAGGAAACTCTGGTCTTCCTCAAATACTACCAATATTTGTTGCTCACCTACATTTCCTGGATACCACTGATAAGATATCAGTTCTTATCTGATTGTGTTAAGTTCCCGACTTGAATGATTGAAATTAACCCTGATCTGATTATCAACCCTGCATTCGTTAACTGACTGGAGGAGCTTTGATTGGCCTGATCAATACTAGCTTTGCTTTATCCAATTGGATGAGTCAATATAAGTCATGTTGTAATTGGATGGATCGTTGTTCTGATATGATTGGCTGAATTACCTTGCAGACAGACATCTGGTTGGTGGTCAGTGTACCAGTTTTATCAGAGCAGATGACAGAGGTACAGCCAAGGGTCTCTACGGAGGGCAGACTCCTGACAATGGCATTCTTCTTAGCCATCCTTCTTGTACCTGTAACAGAGATCAGTTCATTCTACTACAAACTTGTTTAGTCACTCTTTATCATAACAAAGTCTGTTTACTTGTTTAAGATAGCTAGAAATCAAATACATGATTATATTAAAATTTGAACCTTGCTGATGTCATACAAAAAACTTTCGCTAGAAACACAGAATCAGATGAAAGAGATTTAATGAGATGTTTGTGTAGCCAACAGTAATCCAAAACTGACATTTTCAGCAATGTGGCATTGTATGAAGTTATTATTTGATTGGCTCCAAGGGACACAACATATTGATTAGGAAATCAACTTCTATTGATAGTAACAGTAATCTTTGACCTTCAGGCCTTAGCAAACATTTCTAGAAGGAGCCACAGATGAAACTTGATTATGCTGTATCAGTTTGATGTACGGCAACTGATTTTATATTTCTAGAAACAGTGACCTTGATAATTTCCTTCAGGTATGGAAACTAAATTACTACAGGCATTATAAGGAAACACTGTATGATAACATGGGACTTCAGGAGAGGATTAACTTGTGATAGCCAACAATGATCTAAGTAAGCATATTTGTGTTTGATAGGGCCTTAGGAGGTCCAGTCATTACATGGAAACCATTCAGGGATTAATCTAGACAACTTCTTCTACCATTATAGGGTTGTATTCCCCAAATGTTTTCTCCTCTGAATATAAACAAATTTCCCAACAGGAAAATATAATGATAACATGAAAATTTTTCCAAAAGAAGGAATATTTTCTCTCAAAACAAAGCTTATTAGTATATTTTACAATTTTTTTTATTTTATTTTAACCGATGAAAAGGACTGCCCATTTCTCAAAATAGACCAAAAGTTACCCTTATTCCACAATCGGTAGTATTCCCCAAATTATAATTAGTCCATGCCCTTGTGCGGTTGATACATCCATCACTAGTTTACATACCAAGAGCCAGACAGGTAGTGATGACAGCGGGCAGACCCTCAGGAATAGCAGCTACAGCTAAAGCTACAGCAATCTTGAAGTAGTAGATGGCACCCTGTACAAAAACAGTGAAAAATATTCTTATACATAAAACTAACAATATCAAAGTTTCAAAGACAAAACTATGTTCATAAAACACAATAAACACCAAAACTCACAGATTAACAATTTTCTTTTTGTTTATATTCATTCAAATGAAGCTGTGTAGCATTTTTGCACATGGAATTACCAGACATTAGCAATAGAAGATATGTTTATCTGTTTTAATTTTCTCGAAATGCACTGATACAAAATTCAGTGAAAATTTTTTCAGGTCATAATTAACTTCCTATTTTTAATTGGTAGTCTCAACTACAGTCTAAATGTAACAAGAAGGAAAACTTAGAAAGTCAACACTTCAGAAATCTTATCTACTTAAATCAATTCTCATTTACCTTCATCCATGATCCTCCGTGGGCAGGATCGTTGAAATGTCCAATGTTGATGGCCCATACACAGATACAGATAATAGTAATAACCTGTAAAAGAATAATAGCAATGGTCAGTATTGGTCAGTTATCATCAGTATTGGGCAGTGATGGTCGGTTATAAGTATCGGCCAGTGATGGTCAGAAAGTTAGGAGTGGGGGAAAGTGGCGCATGTAACGATCAAGGTTAAATAATCAGTAATGACACATACGTTATGGTCAGCAATGATGATGTAATTGTCAGTTGGGTCTAGTAATGGTCAATGATGGTCAGCAAGAACATAAATGTTATCGAAAAAACAAAGAACAAGTACAAACAGAAAATTGTACAGAAAAATGTTTTGGAAAATGAGAATTCAAATTCTCAGAGAAAGCTATTACATAAATCACAAATTTGAATGTAAAATAGTTTGTAATTTAATTAGAATTGTTACCTTAGAAAGTTGAGTTCCGAATTCATCCAATTTCTGTTGAAGTGGTGTCTTTTCTGATTCTGTCTCCATCATCTCGTCTCTGATCTTGCCTATAAGATACAACAACAAAACAGTGGTCAGCATCATCAACAAATTCTTTAATTTTCCTGTAGATTTTAAACATTTCATGTTCAAACTCTGTTTATACCTTAACTCATCACATAATGTACTTTACACAGGAGTCATACATGTCCTTAGAATCTGAATGACTTCTCAAGTTTTGGGGTTAAAATTGTAAATGCCAAAAACCTGTGGAGTACATAAAATTTTCAAAAGAAAATACATCTTTATGATATAATCATATATATAAACTGGGGAAAAAAAATCTTTTTTTTTTTCTTTTCTTCTTCCAGTATATGAGCTTTCAACATGGGGTCTTATGGCTTACTCACTATGATTGCTTTGATCTACAAACAAATTATTTGTTACCACACCTTATATCCTCAAGATAAATACTTGATATGGGACAGACTAAAACTGTTTTTAGGAATTTTGTTATGGTGAGAATTCAAAATTATCATGTTCATACTATAGCTGTGTACTGATTTTCTGAATAAGGGTCTGGGTATAAGTGGGACTGCAGGGCTGGGGAAAGGGGGAGCTATTCTACACAGCCCTAGGTCATTGTTATCTTCTTGTAAGTATCCTAGTGACCAATCATACATTCAACATTATCATTCACAGATAATCTGAGATATCACAAAGACAAATCTTTTGTAGAGAATGACTATGCTGAATACCATTGATTTATTTGTTTGGCCTTTGTAGGCTTTACAAATACTTGTATTTAGAAAATTAACAGAACAAAATTAATTTCCTTGGCCTTCACAGTTTTTCCTTGTGTTCATGATGGGGATAGAATAAAAATCTTTTCATTTGTTTGGCCTTTGCAGGGTTTACTAGAACAGTATTCAGGAAACGACACTGAATCAAAAGATTTCCATTTGTTTGGCCTTTGCAGGCCACTATCAATCAACCTCTGTTTAATGAGACTGAGTTTGACCAAAAGGAACACTAATCCAACACTAACACAGAGTAAAGCTTGATACTCTCCAAAAAATCTGCTGGAAACATCTTCATTTTTTGTCAGGGTCACAGCCCTGCTCTCAAGGTCGTTGTTACCGGCACTTTTCTCAGATCAGCGCTCGGTTATGTAATCCTGGTGTATTATCAGGAATTTCTGTGAAGATATTACTGAGAAGCTCTCCAGATCCAAGACATCCCCCTTTACCACTATAGAAGTGGTGTATACCTCGCTAGCATGGTAAAGTACACATACTAATACCAGCTGTGTAGCTACACCAGCCCTAGGGCAGAATCTCTATCCTACTGACCTCTACCACTGATGAAGGACATTAGCTTGGTATCATGAGAACATAAACTTCAGCATAATTGAATCAGAATTTTAGTGAAAAACCTGAAGCAAGCATTTGAAATGTAAACAAGAATGGTATTGATTTAAAAAAGTAGCCCTACAGCTAAAAATATGTTTGTGGTTAATAAACTGATACTGCTAATTAAGAGCTAATATAAGCAAAGTTTGAGATCAAACAGTTGGATAATTAGACAAAATTAAGTTAGAATATCTGGGTCTATTCAGTTGTAACAAGATTCATTAGTGTAACTGACAGCTGGGAAATTTTTTTTAAAAACTTTTTTTTAAACATTTATTTAATTATACATGTATTTTTGTGTACATTCCCCTATTTTCCAATACCAGGACATTAATTTTTTGCTTTCCATTTAAGTAATTAAGGTAAATTTAAAATCCTGTGTAAACCAACATCTTACATAGCAGAAAAGATTCAACACATTCTATGAAAGAGATTTTTAATCTGTTCATAATCTAATAATTCAAAAAAAGTATCAATATTATTTTCTCACAAGTTTTCTATTTAAATTTCCATAAGTTTTTTTTAAAACAGGTGGAAGATTCCTGATTTCTATATCAAAAACACTATAGAAGAATCACTTTTCATAATTCCCATCAATCCAACAGCAGACGTCTGCTGATAGAAACATAAAAGGGGTTCACTTTATGATAATGGAAAAATTCCAACAAGTACAGAAACAGAGGACTTGAGCAAGACTAAAAATTTCTATGTAGACCAGATTGAGAATTGACAGGTGCACTGTTTTCCAGCGTATACCAAGGTATATACAAAATGGCAAAAGTCAAAGTTTTATCATCGACTGCTCGTAACCATGATAACACACATGTGTATCAGAGAGAATCGCAAGCTTGGCTAAATATGGAGGGAACAGATCACCTGTAGCAAAGTGCTACCAATCTATACACACAAAGGGGGCCCTAGAGTGAGGGAAGGAGGTAAGGTATGTTTTAGCGGAGGGGTACCCCGGCATGGAGGCATATGAACCATTGAAGTCAAATCTCAACACATCTCATTTATTGTGTTTCTATGAAATGATGTAACAAGGTAACTAGGCTTGGCAAAACTGTATCCAACTTGATCGTTCAATTGGTCTATGCACTGATAGTTTCCCCGTGGAGAGCCCCGAAGCTACAGCAGCCACTGCCAAGCCAGGCACAACTCTAGTGTCTGATCGCCCAATTTAGAAAAGTCTTACTCTGTGTTGCATGTCAGAAGAGGGGCCTAAGGGGGCCAGTCACGGAGCTCAGGGGGCTGCATGAGTGTGTACATAGGTAGCTAGTATGTAAGGAGCAAAAGGGCAGGAAGGGGTGAATGGGGGTTGGGGTTTATAAATGAAGGGGTGAGTGAGAGGGTAATAAATAAGATCAACAGATCAAATATGATGTAAACATTAACTTGTTCTTGCTGTCTAAAAACATGTCCCAGTTTCATTTTGATTTATATTTTTTAAAATACTCCATACTGAAAAATCACAAGCTTAAAGTCTGTCACTTTTCACTACCTCCAGAAACAATGAGAAACTACATATATTGCACCAAAATACCTTGAGCAGCACGTTATATAATGTTGTTTTAACTAATATACTTGAAAATTTAAAAACTAGTCCCCTTGCCTAGGTTTAATGACAGAGTGATGTGGATGATGACGTACTTAGGTGTATGTATATACACACTGAAAACAAACATTTACACTATTTACTGCCAATACTAAATTCCTGTGATGGGGTGTATATATATACATATCACTGGAAATAGCAATAAAATCTGGTACCAGGATGCACTGGGGGTTCTGATGGATTTACAATAGAACTCCTTCTAAGCTCAATGTAATTTATGGTTATAACTTTTCAGCTTTTCACAGGCCACAGTGATAGTTTCAGCACCAGACTAGTTCACCATCAGGTGTAGGAGTGGAAATGGCTAAGATAGCTGTCTCACTAAAAATAAACATGTAAACCTCCAAATGATGGAACAGATAGGCTATGTCTATCTCTACAGCCTCTGTACCAGTCATTCATCTCTCTTTATAATATCTTACCATTCATCTCACTTTAAGACCACTACCTTTCTTCTACCCCTTAAATCTTATACCAAAACAAATCACTGGGATTTTCCCTTAATTCTTTCTCAAACATATCAATATTTCTTCCTAAACACAAGTTTATTTTATATAAAAAATTTCCTTATTCGAAAAATTTCAAAATCTTACTGCCTATTTCAACTTTTCTGATTTGTTGTCCTAGTTTACAAGACAAAATTGTCCATTTTGAACTGCACCCTATACACATTGTGTCTTTCATTTAAATTCAATTACAGTGAGACCTGCAATACTGCTATGGGCTTCAACACCCTTTGATTTCCTTCTCATTCATTTTTTCTTCTCATCCATTTCTGTCTGTCTGTATGTCTGTGTCTGTCTGTCTGTCTGTCTCAGTATAAACCCCTCGTCATTTCCATTATTATTACCATTAACAAACCTCCCTATTCCCTCATCCCCACTTTTTTTCCAAACTTTGGTAGAAATATATTTAAACCAGAAGTAAAATACATAAATACTCCAGTATAAACATAAGTTTGTGTTGGAGATCAGCTGATCAACAACACATAGTTCTATTCAATATCTTCTAACCAGCCAGCAGATAATAATGTACTGAGAATATCTCCATGACAACCTTTGAGCAGGTATGACAGAGTGGCAGGGATCTGTTTACCTATCACCATGACAACCAGGAGTTCTCTTATTTTCACCTGTTGCAGCTTAATGGCATGTTTACTTAATAAGAAAACTCCAACGTCATTTACTGTATGTTCTCCACTGATTTATTGATGCAGATGCTGAATATTAAATCAACGCAGTCAAAATTTACTTTCTCATATGAAATGGAGCCAAAAATTAACGAATACATTTTGTCATTTTGAGAATTGCATATCCATTCAGAAAATGTCTATCATATCATCATAACATTTAATGTACTTGATGTTGTTGAAATCAAGATACAAAAGTAAAATTAGCTTTAAATATTCAAATGTTTGGGGTTTTCATTTTAATCCAGATATCAAACACGGGAAACAGACACATCTTATTTTTAAAACAATGTACACTAGAGAATAAACTTGCTTTAATAGATATAAATTATAATTCAATCTACACAAATAAACAATATCTTCTGATAATTCATAAAATAAGAATTTAAGATAATGTCATATTAATCCAAAAGTAAGCCCTTCCCAAAGATAAGCCCAGTTATTTGCAGCATCATCAATTTTAAAATGGTAACCAAACACAAGATTCTCCTAAAAATTGAAGATTAAAATGTTACACTTTGGGAGAGAGGAATGGGGTTGTGGAGGGTTAATTTGAAGATAAAACAGGCCAAATTGCCAGCATTTCTTTATACATATTTTTCTACATTCATTTGCTTTATCCATACAACGTATAGTATAATATTAACATCAATATGTAAGGAAACTGGTTGTGTATCACAAATTGACTAGTTTCTCGTTTTACTTAATCATACTGGAATTTTAATGTTGATACATGGAGGTAAATATTATAATTTAATTAGAAATTGGGCAAATTTTCAAGGCCAGTTACTCCCAACAGGCTGATTTTTCAAAAATAAATTATTTCCCACTTGAATTTTATCAATTCATCAACCAACATTTTTTACACAGTACAGTCAATTAATAATTTTGTAGTTTCCTATTAATAAATTAAGTGTTTTTGATTAGTTTAATCTTCCAGACCAAAATAAATATCAATGATGTTTTCTTTCAGATCATATCCAAGAAAAACATACAAGAATATGTTCAACACATGATTAATTTTAAATGCAAGCTTTTTAGAACATCAAACTACCATAACACAAAGAAAGAGTTGAATCCCATCACTGCAATTTAATTATTCAGGCAGAGGGTGTAAATTAACATCACTATTACTTGAAAAGAGTTTTGAAGTTCTGTTGTTATCATTTAACATGCTCCGCCAATCAATCTTGGCAGTCCATCAAGCTAACTATGCATAAGATTAAGTTTCATCAATGGGCTTTCCTAATTTAGGTGGCAGTAACCTTTAGAAAAAACATTTCATCCAAGTCTTAGATTTTATTATTCTTGGCATGGTTAATTCTACAGTGAAATGTGTCCAAAAGGGATAAAACAAAATCCTACTCTATGTGTGCCACAAGTTGAAACTTCTACAAATAGAACAACGCCAATCTCAGATGTAGCTGGTAGTCTGTGTATTTCAATAAACAAAGTCCCAATGGAACTTCATAGTAAATTCCCTGTCAATAAACAGTGTATAACTGTATGGTGTTTTTATTGGCCCCTTGTCATATTTCACCAGTGCTGTCTGGTCACTGTGACGAAAACTGTGACCTTTGGGTGAGGTCAGCCAGGTCATAGTAATAACCTTCGTAATGCGTTCCAGCACTACAAAACATTGTTATGATTCTCCCTTTTTGTGACTGGTTCCTTGTTTTATCTTTATAGTTAATAAATCCTTCTTAGTTAATCAAACAGGTTGTAAAGGTCTGTTCAAAGTCACCATGGTCTACCTAGAGTTATCTCCCCATCAGTGTTCCATTAACTTTATTTATCCCACATTGATCTCCTACACCCAACATATAATCTTAGGCTCAAAGTCTTAGAGTTATTAAAAGGCAATGAATAATATTGCTTTTCTACAAGATTCAATTAGTATCCTGTACTCTATGGGTGGGCTTATTACCAGACATTGGCTTATTACAAGTGAATTAGACATCAATAATATATACAGATACCATGATTACCCAGAGAACAATTGCTTATTTCAACCTTCTGTTTACATTTCGGATAAAAATATGCTGCGGCTTCCTGGAGTCAAATAAGCATCCTTGATAATACAATGATGTTCAAAAGCTGTCAACAATGCTTAACCTAATGACCAAGCAACTCCAATGTAACACCGCACAAAGGATGCTGGTCATACCAGACAGCCCTGAACTGTTAATTAGATCATAAACCTAGTTCCCGTTTCATCTCCAGCTTATATGACTAGGCCCCCTGGTTTTCTCATTAACAAAACATCACACTAAATGTTTCTACATATTTTCTTGGTCTCTTTCTTTTTATTACAGGAAGACACTTTTTGATTCCTTGGTATGTGTTGGACTATGAACCTAGATCAGTGTATTTAAGTTAATAAACATTGAAGTACCTCCCTGCAGAGATGGATATAGAAACTGATTACCTCTAGTGTCAGAAAGTATCAACCTCCCATAATTCTTCATTCCCAAGGAAGAATCAATAACCAGCAATTTTTAGGAGAATACCTCACCAAATGACAGTGTTTGCCTTCCTCTTTGAAGCATTCTTCTAAAGTGTAATTCAAAATTCTTATTTCTATCTCTTAAATAATGAGATGGTAACCCTATATATCTACTGTTTTAAAGTTTACAGTGGTACATTGAGGTTATACTCTTGCAAATGGAGATTTACTGGTGACAGGTAGTGAAGACAGACAACTGAAAATTTCATCACCATACCCGATCGCAAATTTCAGAACACGCGCAAAACCATGAAAATTTAGAGCAATTTTTGGGTGTAATTTCAGAAATCTTGGTTACCGTGCACATGATCAATGATGTAACTAAATATATAGGTAACCTATTATAATTATGCTACACACCAATGAATGCAAAAATTTAGACATCCGATCCATAAACGCAGGATGAACATTGAATTCTACTCACCAATGGCAGTGTTGAGACCAGTTCCTATAGCGATTCCCTTGCATTTTCCTGCTGAGATGTTTGTACCCTGAATCAAAATAAAGTGAATTTTAGAGAGTTTTGTCTGAAATTTCCAGTTTTGAAAGCAAAACACAAATTCACAGGTGCAGCTAAATTGTAACCCACATCAAAGCCTCACAAAGTAAATTTATTGAACTTTAAATTATGCGACAGTACTTACAGAGAATAGAATGTTTTTCTTGTCCTGGTTGACAGCACGAGGATCGGGGATGGGATCTGTGTGTTTGATGACACTGACACTTTCTCCTGTAGAAACAAACATAGGGGTGTTCTCAATATCTTTTTTTTTTGCAACTGGTACAAATACATGGGTTTTCTCAAAACATATGTTTCAACTCGTACAAACATTGATGTATTCTCAAAATATGTTCTTGATTGATCCCATCTGAATTTACTGACAAAATCAAGAGCAACAATACATCTGAGTATTTCAAAGCCTTATCATGTAATGATTTTTGTTGTATCAGAGCTGGCTGCTCTCCAAATTAGAAAACTTTGAATAATTTCTTTCTTTTTACTTGTTTTTTTTTTTTTTTTTTTGGCATTGTACTTTAATACTTTAACTAATTAAAGTGCTACAATGTATTCAAGCATACCTGATTATTACAATGGACTGATCTGGTGCCTTACATACCTGTCAAAATGGACTGGTCTATCCTAAGAGTTGTGGAATAAATTTGGAGAATACGAATATCAGCTGGAATTTTGTCTCCGACTGCAAGAGAAAAAAAAAAGGTCACTTCCATTTTTTTAAACAGAAAAAACACATTATCATGGTGGTTTCCTTACAGAAATGGTCTTATCATAGAGGTGATCTGTAAAACAGGTTTTACAAAATATGTTTTTTACATCAGTAAATGGTTAGCAAGTTTTAATGGTAATTAAGGATCATAAGTATTCTTAGATCACAAATATCTGTAGAAGGCAGAAACAACCTGTACACTCTGTTCAACACTGTTAACACTACTTACAATCTCTAAGCATCTAAAACAGATCACAGTACATTTCTTATTAAGACCAGAAATTACAAGGACCTCACTGGACAAATTGATCATGAATTGGCACCATATTATACACTATGAAGCCTCAATATTCCTGCCACCTTCACTACAAGCCAAGTTACTGGACTACAAGTATTGAGGTATTGATAATATTTTACACTGCAAGCTATCTAATCTGTATCACAGGAAAACCAGAAAGGCCCTGTAACTTCAGTAATGTTTCTAGTGAGAAATGACTAGATTAGCCCCATGTTCATAGTGACCAGATAAGTACAGTACTGTTTATTGTTACAAGAATAGTACAGTATTGGTTATAGTGACAAGAATAGTACAGTAATGTTTCTAGTGACAAGAATAGCCCCACAATGTTTCTAGTGACAAGAATAGCCCCACAATGTTTCTAGTGACAAGAATAGCCCCACAATGTTTCTAGTGACAAGAATAGCCCCACAATGTTTCTAGTGACAAGAATAGCCCCACAATGTTTCTGGTGACAAGAATAGCTCTATAATGTTTCTAGTGACCAGAATAGCCCCACAATGTTTCTAGTGACCAGAATAGCCCCACAATGTTTCTAGTGACAAGAATAGCCCCACAATGTTTCTGGTGACAAGAATAGCTCTATAATGTTTCTATCCACAGGAATAGCTATGTAATGTTTCTAACCACAAGAATAGCCAAGTAGTGTTTTAGTGATTCAGCTGACCTACCTGAGACTTCAACAATATCTCCAGGGACTAACAAACTGGCTCGCACTTTCTGGATTCCTCTATGACCTTTACGCACTACTTTTGCGATTTCTGGTTCATACTCTTTCAAAGCCTCAATAGCATCTTCAGCATTCTTTTCCTGTAAAATATCAATATGTATAACGGTTTAAGCTTAAACACATATTAGCAGTCAAGAGATATTATTATTTCACTAGCTCCTGGAACAGCCCGAAAAAAGATGAAACAGAAGCAACTAATGATTTCGGAGCACATATTCAAAATGAATCTTCCAAATTCTGGCAGTGGTTTATTTGCGCTCTCAAACTGTTAAAGCTTAGCACACATATTATATATAGAGATATAGGGATCATATCATTATACAAGTAAAAGACACTCATTAAAAATGGAAAATATTTTTGCATGTTATCAGTTATTTTGTCTACAAAGACATTTGGCTTACTGAAAAAACTGTAATCCTGGTTGTTTATTGTCAGTTGTATTTGTTGCACCATAAACAAAATTTTTAAGTTGAAATTATTAAATAAATTAAAATTGTGATAAAATTATGGGGCTATGGTGCATCTCCCTAATCTAGATTTTGACATTTGATTCAATCAAGTTTCATTCGCCTAGGTTTCAAAATCAAGGCCCCTTGCATCACTGATAAGCTCGAAGTGGCCATATGATGAAGTTTAAATCAATATTTTGATCTACTTTATCAAACTCTTAATCATATCAAAGATGCTATTCACTTAATTGTTGTTTACTTAATCATCTAAATTAACAAGAAAATTTTTAAGGCAGCAAAAGATTCTCGGAAAAAATATTAACGAGTTTCCATCAAAATTTCAGCATATAATTGATGAAAATGTGTGTAACAGATGTGAACTTGTCCACTTATCCTTGACTTGGTGACAACTACAAATGATCCTGATGTAGAGCCCAAAGGTCAAATATTTCTGGTTAGAACACATGTTGATTGTTATCCGAGGATTTACACCTATAACAAGAGCTTTGTCAGGCCTGACACTGGTAACCATGGTAATCATGGACAACACCCACTATTGCAATGTTTTTACTATATATGTGTTAAGTATAACATGACTTCCATTGATCTTTAATAACAAAACCAATCATACCATGACTTATGAAAAATGACTCAATGATAATCAGTAATGTCATATTTATTACAGCATGAAACTTGCATAGATTTACCCAATATGATTTTAGAATTAGAATTTTAATTAAGAATTTTCCCCTACATATCTATTGGCGATCACATAAAGTCACAAAATAGTTAAATTATGCCAAAGCAAGCTTTGCTCCAATACTTGAACAGCCAAATCAAAGAGTGTTCATTGATTCTTATTTTAGAACCACTTTTTCAAATTTTCACCTTTTTTTTTCATTCAAGGGAGATAACTCTTTCACTTACCTGCCATACTCCTACAACGGCGTTACATATTAAAATCGTCAGAATTACAAAAGGCTCTACAAAGGCTGTCACTTGTTCCTCACTCTCCTCAAACCAAGCTAATACCTGTAAGAAAAGAAATAATCATTGTTCGGTTAATCAAACAATCCATTCATCTATGTTGGTTTTGCTTTAATCATACTTCTTTAGTTGAACTTTAGCAGGAAGCTCATCGGGTTTCATGTGGAGCCGTAGACCAACATTTCATTCCGATCTATGACCAGATCAACTCTTATGCATGTATACAGCAGAGCTTTGGTAATTCAGACACAATTTTAGTCTCAAGGAAAAAAAGGGATTACATTGCTGGGATGGTCAAATTACTGTCACTTTTATTTGGAATAAAAAAACAGTGAATCTGTCTCTATTTGCTTGAGTTAGAGGGGACAACTAGATTATACGCTATTGAATCTGATTGATTGGCCTGACCTGTATAAAACTCTCCCAACAGAAATTGGGTATAGAGGTCTCATGTTAGTCAATCTTTCTAATGGCCTAGCTCATTTTAGCAAACCGTTTTTTCAGAGTTATTTTTTTTCTTGCTTTCTGACTGCTTTCCAAATACCTAATTTGATGTCATTCTCCCCTCCTCCCAGTCCTGGCCATTTTTAGGAAATTGGAAATTGCCATTGAATGGGGTGGGGGTGAGTGGAGGGGGTAATGGGGAAGGAGAGGATATCCATTCCGTGATTTCAAGTTCTTGTCTGATTTACTAATTTTGGGAATTTCATTACCATATTTAGAAAATAATCAACATGGTTAGGTGCCTAAATATCACCTTCAATACATACAATAAGAAGGCGAGAAAATACACTGAAAAGAATTCATTGTCAATTACCCTTACTCAAAAACAAGTACATAAACAGTACAAACCTAGCTAAGAGTATATCTAGATGAATTTTTGCATGCTAGCAGACACTAGACAATTGACTCAATTATACCCCATTAAAACAACCTTTTGCACAAGAAGTAATCCTTATCATTACAAACAAATCAATTTAAAAAGAATCAACTATATCATTACTAATTCAATAATGGAAAAATACTCCAAGATTACAATCGTTGCCATCTCATTTGGAGTCAGATACTTATATTTCTAATTTCTAATATTACAAACGACTCAATTTTGAGCAGACAGAATATATCATCAGCCGACTGTCGTAAAAACACTATAGGAACTTCAAATAGTGGTCCTATTTTCTTCTCGTCTTTTTTCAACAGACTAGAAAAAAACAAGTCTAAACCATTCTCTTTTCTCTATCTATGGTAATTAGTGTCATTAATCCTCTTTCCCTTACTATATTAACATGGTACTATTTCCCACAGGAGATGATAATAGGAGTTACAGCGAGATCTCGCCTCTATACAGTGTCACTAATACACACAGTACTGAGCAGTGACTAAAGATTCTGTCAGACGATTCTGTCAGAAGATTTTGCCTCGCACCCATTTAACACTCAAATCTAAATATGAAAGATGTTCAGGTAATTATTCATCTACATAATATCCATTCTTACTTGGTATTAAGTTTTTTTCACCAGAATAAATGCAGATTTCTGGAAATAACTTCATTTCATTCAATGCCTTTAATTATCTTGACTTGTTGATGATTTTCTTGTTTTCACCAGCAGACAAAAGGATTGGAATACATTCAAACCTGTCTATAAAGACCACTCATGGGAGCTAAGAAAAGCATCCTTTATATACAGGTGGCCTTTATATGGAGGTTCATTTACTGTGAACTGAATTACATTGGGACCTCAAACTAGTGACCTTTACAAACACGTTTTTGTAACATACTGGTGACCTTTATAGACAGGTTTTTATCACATACATATGGCCTTTCAGCCAGGTTTGTCTGTTTACTGTGATCTCCATTGACATGCAATATCCTTCACATGTAAGCAGACCTAATAACGATGTCAGTCACCAAACAATGTATAGAATTAATGTACTACAGAAACTGTGAGTATTATACCGTAGGATATAAACCGCAAGGACCGTTAATTGAACTTAATTCTAAATGTCAAGCATTGCATGGATTCTAATTTTCAGTCCCCTATAGCTAGCAGAAATTACATGTATCTGCTCTAGTGGATATGAATAGCATTGAAATGGCATCACTGAAGCTAAAAATTAATGTATACTATAATTTCTATGTATATCTCCCCAGCAATGCCAGATACATCTGATTAAAGAGGATATATTATATTCAGCAAAAAAATTCTCTCAACTTCTGTTGATTCGGATCAAAATCAAGTTTAAAATGCATTCCAAATATCATATGCAAACTATAAATATTTGTTCATTCATATTCAAAAAACTTAAATCAAATCTTAGCAAAGATTATCAAAATGAAATCAATATTTCACATGAAAACTTGTTCCCTTGGATCTGTTATCTAAGAAATATAACCTCAGAGTTTGATTTACACATTAAAACTTTCCACAAAGGAGATAACGTGGGTGGATCTACAAAGACATGGCTGTCAATTTAAGATAGTGACAGCGACTGTTTGTTTGCACATATATAGATAGTGTACCTTTGTACACCCACGAGTTGACACGTCAGATTGTAAAATCTACCACCACAAGGAAGACTGGTCTAGGGTTATACTATAATGTGTGCAAATGTCACGTTTTTATAGAAAACAACTGAATGGGAAAGCTTTTGTAACGTTGAAAGATTAAGTCTATGAAGTCATGGAAAATGATCATGTGGACTAAGGTAGGGTGGGGGGGATGAGGGGAGACTGGGGATGTGAGACTTGGGGAGTAGTGGGTGGGGGACTAAAGATGTGAGATTTTGGGTGGTGGGGGAGGCTAGGGCATGTGTTAGATGGGTGATTGCACAGTTATAGTGTGTGTTAAATATGGTTAAGAAACAATGACTTTATAACAACACTTCTGGTTTTGTTTTATGAGCTGTACTGCACAAAAGCAGTGTCTAATCAATTAATCAATTGACACAAGTTTTTTTTTTCAATTTCATATGAACTCACATAGCAAACCTGTGATGTTCCAGGGTGTCACCACTCCTTTCACATTCTTTTAAACAGACAATGTATTGAGTCTCTGTTAATATAGTCCCATGAAATGATGCTTGTATTGATCAAATAATATATCTTGTCACCATTTTGTTGGCAACGACCAGTTCTGTATCATATATATATAAATATCAGGCGTATCGCTGCAGGCGTAAATATTGTATATATGCAAGAACGTGAATGTAACATATGTCAAAATTATACATAAAATCAATTTCAGAACAAAGTGTACAACTCTATTAAGTTACCCCCCACAACAGTCAGTAGATGTATGATGTAGAATGGCCTCTAGTCAACTGCTGGTTAACCAGTCAGAAAGTGCATGTCATTTACTCTTTGATGGTGCTGCACAAGCTTCATATAAATTGATATGCTCATTAATATATTTCCAGCACAATGTGTTACACCAATCTTTCTGCAAAACTATCATTAATACAACCACTGTCAAATTCTGAACATTTTTCAACCCAAATTGTTGTCAAGTTTTCATTAAAATGTTTCACAGAAATAAGCGTAACATTTATTCTATACAAATGCACTTTCTATAGATATGTAGTTGTTTGTAAGGTTATAGGATCTGTGGCAATCTTGCATAAGCTGAGTACTAAAGAAATAATACAGAAAAAACATCAAACAAGTTAATAAGGAACTCTATGCAATATTCTCTAATGTAAAAAAACACTACATAATTAGATTGTTACGATCTCCCTTTGTTTCAAGATATTACAAAAATCAACATCTGAGACTTACTGTAGACTTCTGGTAAACAAACTGGGAGAACAATTCTTCACTAATTATCTACCAAATCATACCTCAAGATCAATTTGTGATAACACATTTTGAAAAAATTTGCAGTGTTCACTCCTTGATGGTAAGTATTATGCGATAATTGCATTCATTTGAAAGCTTCTGCCTGCATGAAGCATGCAGACATTTGTCGAGAGATACTTCAATGTTAGAACACCATTTCTTCGCAAGCCAATAAATTAGATAGTAATTCCCTCAGATAACACCTGACCCCTAGAGAGAGTTAAAACTCTAAAACGTCTAAATGATATAAAATACCACTATACTAGTGGTGATCAAGCCCATTTTTTGCTGTTTTATTTACAATGTGTAAACGTCAAATAGAAATATACACAGATTTACAATGTTAAAGAGAAAATCAGAAATCATTTTCACCTTTCAAATATAATATAATCACAGAATGTAAGTCTGGTGGTTCTGTTAAGTTGACTGTGTTCTCATTTAGGGAATGAAACATTACTTGTATGGATTGAAGAAATTTATACAAACAATGCTTATCCTTCCTGAACTCCTGGTTTTATTATCTTTGTAATTTTTTAAAGATCTGTGTGTAAATCTTTTTTAACTCATATTTTGCCTTTTATCAACTGCTTTTGAGTTGAAATAAAGAATTCAATGACTGTGGGTATTTTCTTGCAGATTTTGCCAACAGGAGATTCAAACAAGAGGCATATAGGACTTGTATCATTCCCCCATTTAACTGGATGATCAAACAACCAAGGAATAGTATTTTCAAGATTTAGTTTCTCTTTCCTCATTCAGCCATAATCTTGATTCTGCCACAAGGGAGACTAATGCACTGTTCAAAAGATAAGTTTTCGAGCCAAGTGAGCTAAAAATATCCAATGCCAGAAGCTTCACCACTTAATAAATTATACAACATTGTGACCAAAGAATTAAAATGCCAGCCCTCTAAACTATCTTCAATAACAAAAAGAAAATGTATCAAATAATGAAGCAGAAAAGATGATGAGACAGAACAGGGTATCTCAGTCTCTTGATTAAAAATACCCAGTTTGAATCTATCATGAATTCAATCAATGAAGCTGTCGACTATTCTAGGTATATACATACTAAGCATGAATAATTTAAGATATGCATGTATGAACCAAGTGAAAAGCAAATTGTTCTCTGCGTCAGTTGGTGCACGAAAATTAGTCTGTATTGCTTTCAAGTTTGGAAAAATGGTGTTAAGCATGTGAGGTCACAAAAT